TTCTTAATTTCACTCAGCTCTGCTTTGACTTCCAAGTACAAGCAATTAAAGAACTTTTTGTCTTTAGGAGGAAGCAGCTGGGTTATGCTGAAGTTCTGTGAAATTGATGAAATAGCAAGTTGCTTAATGCTTTTCGTAACGTGGAACTAACGGTATCAGAGAAGAAGGAACTTTATATACATTCATGGTAATCATGTTCCATTTTTAGATTCAAACTCAGAAGAGAGAGAGAGAGCAAACAGAAGTCTAGAACTATGTACCTCCTAACGTTATCAATCACATGACAGCGATCTAAAGTTCGAGTCAAAATTTCGTTCACCCTTCGTGTTAGGGAACTGAAACTGTGCCGTGAACATCCGGTTGGGGGGAGACGTTTTAAGTAAATTATGAGTAGAATATATGATCCGCATTAAATTAGTTGAGAGAGAGAGGGCAGGCAAATAGAGACAAGAAGTGGAAAGTGGTAATGAATGAAGTGAAATTGAATGACCTCAATCCTGAAGGCACGCTCTCCTTGCTTGCCTTGCCAATGCAACATCTTAATTGCAGCGACAGTCCCATCACTCAACACCCCTTTGTACACCACTCCATACCCTCCACTCCCTAATACATTCCTTTCACTGAACCCTTCTGTGGCCACTACAAGCTCCTTGTATGTGAACACTTGCACTCCTCTCCTCTTCCTGTTGTTACTACCGTTTGCCGCCCCGAGTGATCCGCGCCCCAAATTCCCTCCATTCAAACACCCTCCCTTCACATCTATACCAGAATTCAAACACGAACGAAACAACAGAAACAATGTTAGATTGCACTAGCATTGATCACCCTGCCAGCAGTTTTGCTGCAAAAGTTTGAATTTTTAAAGTACCCATTTGAGCTTACCTGGGCTACAGTTGTAGATCACAGTGTTTTGAGCAACACTGATGGACTTGTTGAAGCTTGTGTTGCTGCTTTCCCAGTTTGCGTTCTTTTTGGCGGACTTGAGCCGTCGGAGGAGTAAGATGATGAAGAAAATGGCTAAGAGAGCGATCAATGAAGTTGTGGCTATGATGATTGCGAAGATGGAGTTGGAGTGTAGAAGGCTATGGTGGTTGTGGTGGGGCTGAGGAGGTGTGTGATGGTGGGGGTGTTGATGTGTTTGGTTGGAAGTTGCAGAAGTTGTGTTGGTCTCCATGAGTGTGAAGAGGGAGGAGGAAAGAGAGAGATGAGACTTAGAAATGGCTAGAGTTCAATATTTGAGAGAGAGAGAGAGAGAGGTGTTTAAATGTGGTTGAATCTGCGAGGGAGAGAGGATGGGTTTCCCTCCCGAGAGGTTAGACTACAATGACTTGCACAGCAATGCAAGGAATATATAGAAAAAGTCTTCTAATGGATATTTATTCAATGAAATGTTAGTAAATTATTATTCCCAAGTTGTACCTTATAGGCGACACATTCACCATCTCAAATTCTATAGATAGATATCAGATGCATGACCATCACACTTTAAAAAAGAACCTTCAAAACTATCGCAAAGATCTCAACATTTCCCGTTAAATCTCGTGACATTTTACGTCTCGATATTGGACAACTTCCCTAAAACGCGCGTCTTATTAGAAAAATATCAATATTTTCTAAATATCCAAGGACAAGTATAGCATGTTCTCATATCGTACAAGTACGTCTGTATCCTATCATATAGAAAAATTGGATTATGGACCTGAAAAAGACAGGACAAATGGACTCTCTCTCTCTCTCTCTCTCTCTCTCAAATATAAATGATGGGTGTTGGGCTACCTCATTCGTCCCTTCTGCTGTATCATCCGCAGGAATGGTCTCTGTCTATGTTTCAGAGAAAAGTTTGGAAGCTTCTGTTTCATTGCTCATCCACATCCTCCTGCATCCACAAAACAATCATTAAACAAACATTCAAACTTCCCAATCAATATCCTCATGAAACTTTGGTATTCCGGCAGAAAATTCTCGGAGTCAAGTCATTTTTCAGCCGTGCCACACTAGCCCCAAACATTACATAATCTTCAAGAATTTGCAAGACTCCACAAGACACAGGCTGTAACTGGTATCAGAGGCTTTGGTTAATGCGATTATAGTATAATATATAAACAATGAAAACAAAACCTTAGACAGGCAACCCATCACTGGCGCTGCAAGTCAAATTACCTCCCGGATTGCATGCAAAAAAAACAACAGGACCATCAACGACTGACAGACACAAACACTGTCAACATTTAATATTGTCTTTAATAGACATCTCTGGTTCTTTCTTCCTCTTGGAAAAAGCTTCGAGTTTGAAATCTTCCTGATCTGAATCTTAGGACAATGTGGATTACGTACCGGGAAAGCAGACCTCTTTAGTCATTTTCCTAACCCTGAACCGGTCTGAACGTTATCGTTATTGGATTCTTCTAAGGCTCTGGTCTGTCACATTTCATTCAGCAATCCCAAGAACTTCTAACAGCAGAAAATTCTGGTGCAGTCACTTCAAACTTAACACTAAGGATCTGAATGGTAGGGAATTGGGAACGGCAGAGAACACTTGTTAAGCATCGGTGATTGTAACATTATTTGATTGTAACGCGTGATCTTAAAGGCATATTTTACTGTTTGAAAATGCATCTGTCACAACTCAAAAGAACGGTCCGAGGGCACTCGTCGACACCACCTAAGCAAAAAATTTGGTTAATCCTTCAGTTTTTAAGGTCAAATATGCCATGGAAAATATATCAAACCACTTATGACCGTCTTACGCATCTTAAAGGTGGCAATTCGTGTTCGCAAGTCATATTCGTGTCATGTCAATACAAAAGCATATTATAAAATAAATCAATGTCATATCGATACAAAAGCATATTATAAAATAAGTCAATCCAAACTAATCATGTCAATTTATGTGACATAAACGCAGCTCGAAAATTAACGTATTGACATGACTTGTCCATATAACACGCTTAAATAATTGTTTAATAGGTTGACACAACTGCATGACCCGTCATAACACAAAATCAACCCGTCCACATTAAATCAACCTGCCAATATGAACCTTGCGAAATATCCTCAATTTTTCGTTAAAAATCTATTTACAAATTGCATAATCCATTGACAAAATATCATCAAAATCAAATTAAAAAACATGAGCTAATAAAATATCATCCATTTATAATCTTTATAACGAATGACATGAAAAGAATAATGCTTTAACTAATCATGTTCAACAGGCCACACACAAGTCGAGTCAACATTAATCCGTTAACTTAGACGGGTTATACGAATCAATTTCGTGTCTCGCGGATGGACACGAACATGACACGATCAAGTTGTGTCTCGCGGATTGACACAAAATTGATCAAAACACATTCATCTCAACTGAAACCGCTAATTGCATATTATATTCGAATCGTGTTATCTAGTCGTATCAAAGGTTGCCACCCTAAATTACCTCACATCTTCTACCCAGCGGCAAAATTACCAAAAAGTTTTAAATTTAGTGTACGGATGCCAATTCAATTCTAAACTTTTTAATTTGACCAATTTAGCCCTAAACTTTTAAATTTGACCAATTTAATCCTAAACCTTTTGACGATTTGCTAATATAATCCTTACGGGCAATTTTAAGCCAACAATTGCTGATAAGGACACCGGTCATCCGACGTGACGCGAGCAACACTAACTAGATTGCCACGTCGACAATTTCTAGCCAAAATTGATCGAAATGACTACATTGACAGATCCTCAAAAGGTTTAGAATTAAATTGGCCAAATTAAAAAATTTAGGACTGAATTGGCATCCCATACAATAGATTTAAGACTTTTTTGGCAATTATCCCCCAGCTCAGCAATTGACAAAAGACACTCATGGAGACCTTGTTTCACGCCTAAATTAGATGATCTCCCAACCTCACGTCTCCTACTCAGCAATTGACGAAAGACTTGTGCAGGCCTTGTTTCCTTGCGAGCACTCTGGACCATCAATGAACTAGGTGGGTCTGTGCCTCTTGTTGTCCTCTAGCTTTTGAATTAAATTGCATCGAATGCTCGCCTGTAAAGTCACGAAGCTCATGTGCCCATCCAGTTTTGGAACTTCTTTCTATTGCAGGGACTACTTCAAAAGAGTAGATGCAACCTTCATTTTAACACACCCACAATCACTGTTACAGCCTCTCTTTCATGAAGGTATGGTGCCTCTCACCTGCATATGTTCTGATGCTGCTACTGAATTCATCACTTGAGATATCTACATCAGTCATTTAGTTATCTAATTAGAGGAAGAGATATCTATCAGTCCGCTACAAATTAACAAAGTAGAATATCCGCCTCGCTAATTGCTGTCGACCTCATATACTTCCACACCTTTAAGAACTGTCGTGCGAGAATCAAAACACCATGTGATTGTTCTGAATTGGATGCTTGAGGCATTACAATGAAAATGCAACAGCTTCGAACCACTTCGAAGTGCTTATAACATGATCAGTTCGCGCATTACTTCACAAGGAAAACCTTCTAGCTCATCTTGGCAATTGACGAAATGAAGGTCACTCTAATTTTCAGGTTCACCTTTCTACTTAAATGAACTTTTCATTAGGTGCTCTCTGCCAAAGAATTTAACAAAGGCTCTCCTGCATCTAGCCGAAAGCAAGGCTATGAGCCGGAAGGAAAATAAAAAAGCATGTCAAACCAGCCACTGGTCGAGCTAAATAATAGCAATTATGATGTCAACATCAGAGTTGCACTAAAATGGAAACCTAACAGCTAGCATATATGTCACTCTAGAAGGACAGTGGTTGGCAAGTAACCGTTTCGCACAAGCCATAGATTCGAGTTCAGAACAATAACCCAAGAGCACATGCAAGCAAAAAGAAAAGTAAACATGGAGACAAAATATACAGCATTTCAGAACATAAAAGGAATAACTCTGTATTCACTATTCACTATTTGTTGGATTTTGTTGTTCTCTATATGTCTGACCCACCTTACTCTTGCTCAATAAATTTAAAAAGTAAATATGACACAAGGAGGAATGGTATCACACTGTAGAATAATTGACATTATCCACAAAAACCGTTGCATTGCCTCTCTAAAAGATTCAAAAAGAATACTCAGCCAATGCTCAGCAACTCAGAGTAATTTGTCAATCATCCGAAAATCCTAAAAACCTGTTTATAAGCTTAGCAACTGGCGTGGCATCCCCGGTAACATAAGGAAGGAGAGACTCCAAATCCATATCTGCTATAGTTTTATAAAGTGTTTGAGGACGAGCACAATACAAATGCTTCCTCTCGGCTAGTTCCTCTGCTAACTCACTTTGATGATTGTCCATTAAATCTTCATTCACCACCACAATCAAAGGTTTACCAAGTCGAAGTGTCTCGAAAATACTCCCAGACCCTGCAGCACAAGAAACAAATTTCAACTCTCCTGCTTCAACACAATCCCAACCCTCAGGTGCCTTACATAGCAACAACAGCCTTATCCCACCAACAAACTAAAGGGAGGAAGAAACAGACAAGGAGAAAAAAGGGATGAAAACAGAGATAGTTTATGGTCATATGCACACGGATATGTGAAATGAGCACTGACGGTGTAATGAAAATAGAAGAAAATTTGCAATGCACTCCCTGTTTATTTGCCTATCGTTCTTAATTCTTCTACCATTCTTTCTCTCGTCAAGAATCAAGCAATAGCAAAAATAATTGAATTTTTATGCTTATGACAGAGAAAAGGTAACATAAAACAGCACAAGACCCACAACCTGCACACCTTATGATGCCGTACCCTGAGAAGTTTTTTTTTTTTGGTCGAAACCCTGAGAAGTATAAAGTGCTGAAAATCCTGCATCCAACTTAGCAAGGAATCTAGCGCTGTCACTGATCACAGACGATTCCTCCTGTTCTTTTTTCTTTTTCTTTTTTGAGACAGATGCAGCTAAATCATTACATGCCACTGTCCGAATGAGAAAGTAGGTGCCACTTCGTGTCAAGGAGAGAAGCATGGCCTATAAATCCTTTGTCATGAGCTGGACTTGAAACAGCGCGTCTGGGTAAAACACATACATACCGAGAGATGCATTCTTACCAAGGGCAAAAGTAAAGGTGAAAGGTACGAAAGTTGCCGCAGAAGCAACTAAAATATGTTATAAGGACACCCTAGGCAATGGGATGGGAAAAAATCTGTGCCATGAAGACAGAGCTCAGGGCAATTTAAATAAAGCGACCATGTCCAATCAACTGACTACTAAATGCAAGCAAGCCCCTTTGAATGGAAAGCTAAAAACTCTTAAGAAGCACGGTGGGACCTGCAACAGGCCATTGGACTTGTACGTTCAACTAGTCTCTAACAGATATTACTAATCCACAGAAAACTGTATTTTCAAAATTGCTAATCCTTATAAATATGGGTGTCTATTTGATATCAAAATGTTAATAACTGTTATCAAATTGTTAATAACTGCCTACAGTTGGCATAACCTAGAATAGAACAAGTGCTACGCACAGAAATAGTGACACTCTAATAAGATCTCCCTACACTCATTAGTCATTCGGCCTCAAATGTGAGCAACATTAACAATCAGCTGGAAAAATGAAATAAAAGTGGCTTCAGACAGCAGAACATGATTTGAAGCACCCCTACCACAAGGAAAGGATTAAAAAAATGGGGAGAGTCATGATAAGCAAAGGAGATCAAACCTGCATGACTGATCACGAGAGATGCTGATCTTAAATAATCCGCTATGCTCGATGAGAAAGTGAAGTACTCCACGACTAGAGAACCATCTTCTCCATCAGACTGTTTCATCCAATTTCGAATGAATGATGCAAAGTGCACGATGAAAAAACACGCTTCAAAGTTTTATACGACAAGAACTCACGAAAGCACAAAGGATAATATTTGCATAAAAGTACAACCAATAGCCATCAGAAATGAAGCAAATTCACCACAAAATTAGCAAATTATCATTTCATCAGGATCAAATCCCTATTCTTATTATTAGGATTGCTTAAACAAAATCCAAGCTCAAGTCACATACCCCATACCAGAACAAAGACACGGACCTAAAAAATCTTCTCTTGCTAAAAAGAAACCTCGGCAATCAACTAAAAAAAATATGAAAAACCAACTATTCAGTTGCACTGTAACAAAATGCAATCATCAAAATCAGCTATCAAATTTTTCAGAGATACTAAAGGGGATGTACCTTTTTGGGGGTGTAGGTACCGCGACCCATTTGAATAACAAGGTGGGTATAGCCTCGAGCAGACAGTTCTTGCTGAACTTCCCGAGTATCCACTGCCCTCACGAGAGCATCAAAACAAGTAGTGCCAACAGTCACGAAAACGGCCCTTTTGGGCCTTCCACCATCCTCTGCATCTCCCATTTTGCAACCAAAACCGCGATTCTGCTTCACCACGGTGTTGAAAATCCAGCCTCCAATGGTGTCAACCGCGACGCGGATAAAATGCAGCCTCCAGCGAAAGAGCAACGAAGCCTTTCTCCAATGCGCAAGCAAATACCCTGCAAGTCCCAATCATCATATTCCTTCCCTCAAACACTTGCAGCCGCAAAAAAAAAAAAATGCAAGATTGTCAGACCAAGAAAAACTGTCTACAAACTGCCCATCTACCAATCTTTAAGGGAACTGCAATAGCTCTAGCTCAGGGCACAGTTCACATCTCCCTCCGTCTCAAGCGCGATCGATTCGTCGCAACACGTCCTCCGACTTCCCGCCCTACGTCGCCGAGTAACCCACCCGGGATCCCAGACGAATTCATATCGAAAAAGTTCTCTCTTTTCGGCTCAAAAAAACAGAAAACTTCTTATGCCGCAATAGGAATTGAATTAAACCGACCCCGGAGCTTAACAGACGAACCCAATTTAGGATCTTTTTTCCCCCATTTTCGCTCTTGCGAAGATCTATAGATTGGCAACAGAGGAAGCCCACGAGAGGATTTCGCAAAGATAGCTAACCTTTGACCCCCGGCAAAAGGCAGCCGCCAATCGGGGGAGCCGGAGCGAGAAAGAGGGGTTCACTGGTTTCTGCTCAGTGCTGGATTTGCAGAGATGAACCGAGCTCTATCCTCGGCAGCTGCAACGCAAAACCACAACGGGAGGGAGAGCGACGAGCTTCGAGCTGCACCTGCGCGCGAGCGAGCGAGCGAGAGAGAGAGGGGTGAAACTCGCAAGATGGGATCAAGAAGGCTGGCTCGTACAAATACCAAAAAATGCATATTTTATTACGGGATGGAAATTATACGGTTCGAACGAATACATGCCAATAGGTATACGGCCCCAGTGGTAAAGGGATCGGAGGTAAGGATGCTAGTATCACAGGTGCTGAATTTAACTCTCGCGCTCTATAAGAGGCGGAGTAAAAGTCAGAGACCAATTAGGCTGCGTTTGGTTGTCCGGATTTCTAAACAGGATAAGACTGGATAGGATAGGATAAGAAATCCTGGGATTTCTTCATATCCTATCCACTGTTTGGTGGATTACGGATTTAAAGTTGGATATGATAAAAAAAATTTTCTATTCACGGGTCCGGAGGAGTCGGTGAAGGAAAAAAACCCGAGAAATTTTTTTGGTGAAAGCGCACAAGGTGTGGGGATGAAGATGACGGCGAGTGGAGCATAGGGTTTCTAGAAAAATAGATATTAGAAATCCTATCGGGGTTTATCCCATCTCCCCCCTCGGATTTTTTTATTCGGGCTATATCCGGTCTATATCCGACCTTATCTTATCCTGGACCACCACCAAACACAGGATAAGATAAAATATATCATATCCTGGCTTTTATCCGGTCGACCAAACGCGGCCTTAGAGTTAGAGATATGACTGATAAAAAAAATAAAAATAAAGCACATGTCATTATTTTTCTTTAAAATATAATTAAAAAAGGTCGGCGTGCAATACTATTCATGATATGAAGTTTACAGAAGTATCGTGTATATATATAGTTGAATTATGTTACTAATTCGTCTTATCTGATGAGAAACTATGGTAGTGGTATGTTTGTTACTTAAATTAAGAAACAACATAATCAAAATTTGGGCATATACAAATATATGATCAGTTGATATAGGAAGGATATGAAATAGAATTGTAGTATTTTGACCTTAATTATTGTATGACACGTGTTTTACAAAGAGATCATTCCCTTCATTTTACTCTAAGAATGAGTGTTTTTCCATAACCTCAACAAACATGCGGGGGACAGGAATTTTATTGAAAATCACGTATGTCTGTGTTATTTTATGTCGAAATAAGAGTAATTTACTAACAAATGTCAAAGACATTCGACGAGTTGGGCCAAGCTTCTTCTTCTTCTTTTTTCATTTGTTTGTTTTTGTCCAAAAATTTCGATTTTTTCTTTCTTTCCAATAATAATACGATAAGTCCGAAATTTCCCTGCTTCGTACACTTAAATTCTAAACCCATTATTTCGTTCATTTAAGTCATCAAAACTTGCAACTTCGATGTACATTTTCTCGAATCAAAATCAAAAGTTACAAACGAAAGAAATTGACAAATTTTAGAACTTGTTATATAATTATCCTCCTTTCTTTTCATTATAAGACTTTTTTTTGGGTCGAATTCATTATTAGACTTTAGAGCAATGACTCTAGAGGTTTTTTTTTTTATCAATTAATAACTTCGAAATCAATCAATTCACATATAAACAGAAATAATGTTTAGGAAATCAAAAAATCGAGCTCAACTAACCCGATAATATTTAATCAAACATCACTCAACCGTTTTGATAATTTCGGATAAAAATAGGAATACCCATCGATCTAGATAGATGGTAGATGGTATTCTTCTTTAATAATTTGAGGGGAAATTAAACGTGTAATGCGATCCTCGAACCCCTAAACTTTCCGTACATGTTCTTTAATGTCATCATTTCATTAAATATTTTCATATAGTTCGAGAACTAAGCTGAACACATACCAAAAGTTCAGGAATTATATCGAACAAATTAAAATTCTATATACCATATTAAGCTTTGGGTTAAAGATTAGAGATCATACCGAACGAAAGAAAAGTTCAGGGATCACTAGGGGATCATTTGAGTCGTAATACGGTGATTTGAGAATGAATAGTTTTATTTAAAGCGATGGATGCAAGAGGTGTACGGCAAAATACGAGGACGGCCTTGTTGTCCGAATAAGAAAATCCCGCCGGACGAAACTGCGGAAAGGAAATCGACAAAATCGCTCCGGCCCGTCCCGCGGACCGCGTGCACGTGACGCCGTCATCCCTCTTTGACTTCTCCCCTTCGAATTCGACCTCCTCCTCCCCGATCATCGACGTCCCGGCGTCAACCTCCTCCTCCTCCTCTTCTTCTTCTTCAACCACCGATCGACCTTCCTCTCTCTCTCTCTCTCTCTCTATCTCTACCCAGCAATGGGTCTCCTGTGGAGCAAATCCGGCAGGCACCACCAGAGCTCTCAATTGCCGCCGCCGCCGCGGCAGCGGCAGCAGCACCAGCACCAGCAGCCGCCGCCGCCGCGTCCCCTGCCGTCCCCATCGCCGCCGCCGCTGCCGCCGCCGCCGCTTCCTTCTCTGGCCGCACCACCTCCTCCTGCTCTTCCTCCTCCTCCTCCTCCTCCTCGGGCCAACCCCTACAACCCTTACCCCGCGCCTCCGCACCCTCCGCCCTACGCGCCGGCCCCGCGGCCTCCGATCCCGCACCAGTACGGCCCTTACGGTCAGCACCCGCCCCCCTCGAGCTCCCGCGCTTACGCGCCCGCCCCGATCAATTGCTACCCTCACGCGCAGCCCCCCCATCCGCACTACTCGCAGTTCCTCGGTTACTACGGCAACGGCGCCGGCGCCGGCGCGTGGGGCGCCTACGGCCCGGTGCGGCCGGTCGCTGCTGCTGCGGCGCCGCCGCCGCCGCCGTACGTAGACCACAAGACGGCGAAGAAGGTCAAGAACGACGTGAACGTGCACAAGGACACGATAAAGCTGTTGCTCGACGAGCAGAGCTCGGATTCGCACCTGGTTTCGTTCACTTTCGATGCGCTTGTGGATGGCAGGTACGCGATGACTTCTTTTAACCAAATTCCGGGAAGATCGGTATTTATCTTCTCACTAGCGATTCCTTCGGATGGCGTAGCACTCCGATATTCATCATAGATAGAGATCTCCCTTATGTTACTATCTCGATCGTGTCGAATAGTTGTGGAATTACAATCATAACTCACCCGTTGGAGAAATTTGGATATAGCAAGATATTGTGCAACCAACGTGTATGGATCAGGCAGAGTTTTTGTTATGGGATGTCGAAAAAATCAGAGAATTTGTTGTTTTAGCGAAGGTGATTCGGTTTTACATATAGCACTGCAGATGTCAATTGCCGAGCTGATTAGACAGATGTTTTAGTTGATAATCTGTACCACAGCTGCTTACAATATGTATATGAAACTCCATGGTGCTATTACGGGATCGTCGCGTCTATAAAATCTCACTTTCAGATGAAGAGATTGAGAAATGGATGTTGGAGGTTGATGCTCATGTGCCTCTTTCGACATGCATGTTTTGGTTTTTGTTTTTTTATAGTAGAGTTTTTCTGTGAACAGATTGGTCAGAATGTGTTTTCCCTGAGGTTGTTAGTTAGTGACAGGCAATTATGCTCATAATACCTAAGATTCATAGTGATTCTTTTTGGTGAGCGTCAACTTACCAACCTAATTTGGAGAATTCATATGGTAACACATATTTGTGCAGCACTTTTGCAGAATGTACCACAAAAAATCTGTAGTGGAATTCTTCATAGTGCGTCCTATTAGAATTTTGATTCTTGTATTGTGCTTTTGTGTTTTTCTAGTAGTAAATGATTCATTTGCAAGTAATCCAAAATGCATAAATGTTTTTTGTGGTTTTCAAGGAGCATAATTTGAGGAACACTTGGTTAATTTCATTATATTGTTGGTCAGAGCTGACTGTGCCAGTTTTTGTGTTTTTCTAAAAGATCAGGTATCAAATCTTAGAATCTATGGTCCAGTTGTAAACAATTTATCAACTGTTGACATTTGGCAGTGATTTTTTGGATGTCAGATACAATATTGGTATATAACAAATGATTAAGGATTTGAAACTAGTGCTTAATTGCTTAGCATCAGGCTTAGTCTATTTGTTGCATTGTATATTGGGGATTTTTTGGTGGATTGTGCTTATAACGGCAAACTGATGGTAATCCGTATCTTTACCTGAGAATGACTTGTCCATACTTATCTAACTGCTTAGTTTCTCCCCTTTTTTGGGCAGTATTACCATACTTTACTTTGCTAAGGAAGGGGACAACTGCGCCTTTAGTCCTATATATCCTGAGATGTATGCACCAAGAAAAATCCCATTTCAGAAGGGAGTGGCCCACAAGTTCTGTCAACCTTCTGGAAGCGGCATTGACCTTGGTTTCTTTGATGTGGACGAGCTCTCAAAGCCCTCCCAAAATGAGGATGTTTTCCCTCTTGTTATCTGTGCAGAAACAAGTGTACCATCTCCCGTGGATGAGCAGCCCAATCAGCCTTCGCCTGCAACATCTTCCCATGCTCAGATTACTCTAGCAGTCCTAGAGAAAAATGATGAGGGCAATTTTCGAGTGAGAGTCGTCAAGCAAATCTTGTGGGTGGAGGGAGTTCGTTATGAGCTTCGTGAGATATATGGAATTAGCAATTCAGAAGACACTGCCTTTGAGGACACTGATCCAGGGAAAGAATGTGTCATTTGCATGACTGAGCCAAAGGATACAGCTGTTTTGCCTTGCAGACATATGGTGAGAGTTTTAAACTTGAGCATATGTCCAATGAACCCCTTCCCCCTCTTCCATGTTCCCATAAGCAGTGGTGCTAATAATTACAGAATTTTTTTAAATAAAAATAGTTGGACTAGCAATGAACTTAGGTCAAGATGTCATATAAAAGGTTTCCATCTTATGGCATGAGAAAAATGGTATTTGAACTATTGGGTGGATGAATTGTCAGTCTGTAGGTTCCAAAATTGGGGGCTTTTGGTTTCTGCTATTTTCGACCACCAAAACAAGTTTTCCAATAGTGATCCCAACTTTGCAACAGGACTTGCTCGATCCAGCAAGAAGTTTTCTTCACGTTGAACCTCTCTCCTAGGTCCAGTATGTCCCATGGCTGAAAAACAGTTTGCTTCCTTGATTGGTACTTTTTTTCTGTAAAACTTCCTGATTGCTATTGTATGTACCTGATGTCCTCATCTCTGGTTCTTCGAGATTGTTCTTGTTAATCTATATGACTTCTGGCAGCGGTATTTAGTTGGCCATGCCATTTGGTTCTTAAACGTTCTGCCTAGACTTGTGCATGCTTTTTGCCTAGGAAAGAGTCCTTTCCAGAAGCTTTAGTTGCATTTTGTTTGACCGGAATGCTGAGGAATGCAAGTGAACTTTTTATCTTGACAGAATTGTCATTCTTATATTATTAATATTTCAAAATCAAAGAAACAGCTCTGCAAGTGGAAATCAATTGACCTAAATAGAGACGATTGCTGTTCTCTTTCTGTGGGGAGTTCGGCATCCTTGTCGGATGAATCAATTTATTCAGAATCTTAGTCTAGCTTGGAGTGTACAAATGGCCACAGTTAAGCGATGTCTCTTGATAGACACTTGTAGTGAATCCAGGAGTCAACACAAACTCAAATTTTCTCTTGCAGGAATTCAGTCAATCGGCCTTTGTTTGATTTGGCTATTGATGCCGGCAGTCTACTTAATTTCTATTTCCTAGAGTTTGATAGTGGCATTTACCAAGCTTTCCTTTCATTTTGCAGTGTATGTGCAGTGACTGTGCAAAAGAGTTGAGGCTCCAATCCAACAAATGTCCAATATGTCGCCAGCCGATTCAGGAACTCCTTGAAATAAAAGTAGCTAGAGGTACGGATTGAATGACCTTATGGATTATTGTGATTAACTGGCGTGAAATTTACTGACATTGTACTTACCAAAAAAAAAAAAATTTACTGACATTGCATAACAAGAAACTATCTACCTTTTGTCTTCCAGCTCCAGCGTGAGCAAGGTTCTTTTCTTTCCGAAGAAGCCACATGACTTGTCACCGGTGGTGTTCATATAGCTTTCTTGTATCATATTCCAAGCTAGCAAGCAGCTTCCGTTGCTTGTGAAAGCGGGTTGTTCATACATACGATTCTTTCATCCTTTGGGGAATCACATTCCTTTCAGCCTAAAGTTCTCTCCATTTTATAAATAGGGGTGAGAACTTGTACATTTAATCCCTCACGTATCAAAGAGAAGGGAATGACTTATATCTGCTCTTTTACCCTATTCGGTCTTTTAATTTGAGTTTCAGCACTCTCTCTCTCTCTCTCTCTCTCTCTCTCTCTCTCTCTCTCTCTAGTTGTGTATATGGGTGTGTAGTCGTGTTTTACTTTGTCCAGATGTGTGTGTGTGGTCCCTTCAATATGAGCAGATCGTATGTCAGGAGAGGGAATAATCTGCAACACAAGCTTTACATAAAGGAGAAAAGAGGAAGCTTCAAATGTTCAAAAGGTTGGGTCAAAGATTGAGTGTCCTGGAAGAGGAGACAAAAGTGAGGATTTTTGAGCTTTGGAATACAAATTGTATCGTCCCTGATCTTGCTTTACAGATTAAAAGCACTGTCCCATGTACGTTCACTTCACTTTCCTTAGAGACTCACTGTAGCTCTCTTTATCGGGATCTGCAGCAAAATTCAAGGGGTGTCTTGGGGCTGACGCCTGTACACCCCAGCGCAGCGCATCCTGGATATCGAAATTGATTGAACGAAATATGGCGTTTCGTTTTTTCTTCTGGCCAGTTGATGATTTCAAGGCAATCTTCACGTCCATGCAAGGCGGAAACAATAAAAATTGGCGTTCATGTGAGATTTATGCTGAGTTAGTTATATCCTACCGTCGCGTCTAAGTCATTTTGCACGTCGCGTCTAAGTCATTTTGCACGTCGAGAAGCTTCTAGGTCCTCTGGCGACTAGTCGCAGAGCCATGGAATGTCGGGCAATGACGGATTTTGGATGAACGGGAATGAAATGCATGAAGCTTGTGCTACTCTGTTCTTTGGGTGAACGAGTAGGTGAATTTGACATGGTGTCCTGCAATTGAAAGAGGAGTGCCCCGGGGATGACCTAATTATCTCCATACTTGCAGCATTCACTCTACTCCGAGAAATTTTCTTGAGGACTCGAGTTGGCTGTGTATATTCTTCGCCTGATCGATTTCTTTTCAATTTTTTATGATTGCCCTCGCATTTACGAATGCAATGACCCCTTTCTAGGTTAAGTTATAGATTCTAATGAAAACACAGGAAAAGGGAAACGTCCCAAGTTGTAAGAAAATCACTTCCAACTTTTCTCTCCATAAATCCACCGTAAATTCATATTGTATTAACAAGCACGAATGGTGTTAAAAACATGTTCGTTTTCTCTCATTAGGGCTAACAAACGCATGCAAGATATTTGTGTATTCTAACGGGGTCCTAAGGACACAAAAAAGCTCAGTCAAAGGCTGAACTGCCAAGAAGAAAAGAAGAAGAAGAGAAAAAGCAGTTTTCTGACCGAAACATATACGTTGGACTAGGAACACAATTGCTTTGTTTGGGATTAAGCTTATGCCCTCTTTTGTGGTGGTGGTGGTGGGTCTCTCTCTCTCTCTCTCTGTTACCCTCCCGTTTACACATCTTTCACCGACAAAAGCACCTCGTAATATCTCTTGCAATTTTCTCCTTCTTGATTTGAGTCTTTTTAGATGGATCAACGGTAACGTGGAAGCAAGAGCAGACGAAAAACCAGCGTCCCATAGAGCCAAAAGAAAAAGGAAAAAAGCAGAGGTACCAATCGCATTTCACATTCCTCTCTTGAGTTATAAAAACACGTAATTGATGATTCATTGTTCCTGTCTCATGATATTTGCCTCTGCCCAAGCAGCACAGCACAGAGAGAGAGAGAGAGAGAGAGAGAGAGAGAGAGCCAACAAGTCACAGTATTTGGTTACTGCTTGTCAAGTGCCTCTGAAGCTTGAAAGAGCCTCTCTGCTCTCTGTTCCTGATCAGTTTTCCCCTGGTGAAATAATAGAATGATGAAACAGCAGGGCCCGTCAAGGCTTCAGGTAGTGTTTCCTTACTCTTGATCCACTCTTCTTTCATACGGTGAAAACTCACTTACACAAATAAGTTGCTTCGCGAGTGTGTTATGGATTTAATCTCAGCATGACTGCGCTTGGATTTTGCAGACTTGTGTCCTGAGAGTGAACATACACTGTGATGGCTGTAGGAAGAAAGTGAAGAAGCTGGTGCAGAAAATAAATGGTACTTCACCTTCCCTTTGCACTGGTTCTCTGTTTAATCATATTGGGGTAAAAATCATTGTCACTAGTTCTCTATTTCTAATGCAATGTCTTCATATAGGGGTGCAGAATATTTCCATAGACGCGGAGCTGGGGAAGGTGACTGTGATGGGTTATATCGACCCCAGGACAGTCATCAAGAAGCTCATAAAGTCAGGGAAGCATGCAGAGATATGGAGAGCTCAAGAAAAGAGCTTCCATAACCAGAACCAACTCAACCACCAGTTCAAGAACATGCAAATTCAGTTCTCCAACAGCAATGGTGGTGAGAGAGACAAATATTTCCAAAAGGGCGGTGGGAATGGATTTGGGCATATCCAGCCAAAAGGGTCCAAGGATATGATGCAGATGGTTCCCAAAGCTAAGAAATCGGTCACGTTTGATCTCGATGAGGACGACGAAGACTATGTGAGTGATGACAGTCTCTACGATTCCGATGACGATCTTGAGCTCGATCTCGGTTCACGTACACCACGCAAGCCGTCCCCCATGGGGGTTGCTGGTGCTTATGGGCAAACGGGTACTAAGGGAATGAAGAAAGCCAAGAAAGGTGGTATCTTTCGCATACCCATGTTGGGAAAAGGCCAAGGCAAGAAAAATGAGGGCAAATATGGCAAAGGAGGGAAGAATGATAAATGTGGAGGCAAAAATAGCAAAAACAGCTTCAACGGAGGATATCCAAAGCAAAGTGGGCCAAAGAATGGAGCTATCAACAGAAACTATGGCAATGGTGGTGGTGGAGGCAAGAAGATGAATTCTGGTTTTGATATTGATTTCACTAATCCTGGCAAAGGCCGGGGTGGAGCTGGCCGCGGAGGCGGCGGCAGCGGGTACGGCGCTCCGGTGCCGCAGATTGGTAATTACCCAATGGGCCACCAGGGCCAGATGGGGAACTTTCCAGCAGTTGGAGGACTACCTGCACCAATGGCAATGAATGGTGGAGGATATGGGCCAATGGCAGGCCCAGGAAATGCATACAACCAACAACATCCCATGGCCATGATGATGATGATGAACCAGCAAAGCGCCCATGGGAATGAGATGCTGAGGCCCATGCCCATGATGTATGGGAGGCCACATCCCATGATGAACTACCACCAGCAACCCATGCCCATGGTAACAACAGCAAGAGGATATTCTGATCCTTACACACACATGTTCAGTGATGAGAACACTGAGAGTTGCAGCATCATGTAAAGCCAGAGAAGCTGCTCTTTAGGTTTTGCCCACCCAACGACATTTTGCCAAAACATGAAGAGAGAGTTCATGTGTCCTGAGCTATTTGTATTGTAATTAGATTGGCGGCCTTCTTTTAAATTCAATATATGGAAGGTTTAGTATGGTACGTACCATGCCCAAGTTTGCTTTTCTTTTGAACAATTCGCGTTCCTGTTGAAAGCTGGCATCGACATGAAGACTGAGCCTAGCATACTAATGATAAACATAGACATGAATTGGACATTCGTGGTTGTAATTCATGCGTAATAATGGATAATCTAGAGATCTAATTAAGCAAATACTAGGTCAACTTTAAAAGAGACAATGCGTTTGGCACAATTTTGTCCAATCATTGTGGGCCTTCAAAGGCTTTAGGGAAAAAAGTTAAGGTGTTTGGTACAACATTCTCAAAAGCCTTTGAGCTAAAACTAAAGTCTCTTAACCCAATGCAAGTCCTATCCAATTTTGGCATTTAGCATTTTTCAGAATGCTGCTTTCAGAGTTAATGAATTTTCTTCTAACTTTACCATCATGGATATTTTCATATTCTAAGTTTGTCCTCAAAATCACTGTTCATCTTCTCCCTCCCTAAACCAAAAGTTCCAAATCTAGTCGCCGATTCGATGCCTCGCCGACGCCCGCATTTGGCTCGTTGATGAGCGATGGTGGCCGAGGGTCGTGAGGGTTTGGGTTCAAGCATCTAGGTCGACAATTGTGGGTCTAGATCGCCGAGGGTCTAGGTTCGCGAGAGTCTAGGTCGCCGAGGTCATGTGACCCTTGGCATTGCCTCTCCTGTGCTGCCCCAAGTACCTCAAGCGAGGGTCACCGAGGTCGGGCAACCCTCGGCGTCGCCTCGCATCGGCGGCCCAAGGTCGCATGACCTCAGCATCGCCTCATCATAAGGCCTTAAGTCACATGACCCTTGGCGTCGCCTTCGCCTTGACTCTTCGATGTTTCGATTGTTTGGAAGAACACAGCGGAGGCGGAGGAGGCGATGAGGTTCCAGGAGATCGTGAACGAGACCAATCAGATTCACATCAGTGTCGGCGCAAACATCGACGATTTCTTGCCCTTCTTCAGGCGAATCAGCGTGAACTCTTCAGAGAACAGGATGATGGCGTTGCAAGAGAAGAGGGACGAGTTCATGCAGAGTATTGTGGAAGAGCGTAAGAGGATGCAGAGCGACGATCAGGAAGGAGTAGCAAAGGAGAGGACTTTGATTAAGGTGCTCTTTATCACTAAGAGAGACTAATCCTGAGAACTGCATAGATAAATTTTTATCAATAGACCTTAAAGATGTCTGGGAAATGACTTTGCATAGCCCTAAACTCTCCCCAACGCACCTAACATAGCTCCCTTTGATATTCGCTATTAATAAGTAATTACGATGTAGATAAATTTTTATTAAGTTCTTTTCATAAGAATTGTACTTGCATGCCTCCAGATTGGTCATATGGTATGGATTGGAGAGCTTTATAGTTGTGACAAACACTGCTAAACAACAATTGTAGCCTTTTAAATAAGTACCATTTTGGGCCAAGATCGAGTAGGCGGTTTAAAAAGCATCTACTGATTGTGTGCTTATGGTCTTTTTAACTAATGAGGGGAGGTTAGTAAATTGTCAAATCATCAAAAAGTTTCGGACTAAATTAGCACAGTTGAAAGGTTTACACTAAAGTGACCGCCGTACAAAAGATTTAAGAATTTTTTGACAATTTTGCCGAGGAATATTTGTATAGAATAGTTGAAGAGCCATGGGGAAATTGACAGAACAACACCTGAGCTGGATTATTTGACTTGAACTTTGGGGATGCAGTCCATCTTCATGCAACATGCAGACGAGAGTAAAAAGCACATCTCGTATTGCTTGCCTTCGCTTGACGCCCTTGGCACCTTCCCACCCCGCACGTTACTCAGTTCGATCGGGGGATGATGTAATAAATCCGCAGATGGTCAGGGGTGGTAGTCATATGACAATACCGATTCCCAATGTAACCATATATGCAGTTTGGGTCATGGGTTTTAGACATGGCCACGGGCCGGTTTTGGCCCGGAACTGGTCCGGGTCAAATCCGGGACCGGCCGGTTGACCGGGCCCGCGGTTCGGAACTGGAACCAGCCCGTGGCCTACGGGCCCGGTTCCGGTTCCAAAAAAAAAAACTTCAAAATTATTTTTTTTTTCTCCAAATTTGATTACAATGTACATTTTGATTACATTTTATATCGAATAATTCATTATTTCATAATTTGATAATTCATTATTTTTTTATTTCATAATTTATTTTCTTAATTTTTACCGGCCGGTTCAGAACCGGGCCAGAACCGGAACCGGCCCGGAACCGCCGGTTCCGGTTCATACATGGCCACGAACCGGAACCGCCGGTTCCGAACCGTGGCCATGTCTAATGGGTATTAATATCCCTAAAGAGTGCCTGCTAATAGAACCCACAATTTTTTGGATAAGATTGGATTGCACAGGCAAGTTTATATTCAACTCGGGAAGTCCTCATACTGCTCCTGCTCAAACTGCTTATAATATCGTGAAAGAGGAAATAATCGGCATCTGCACCTCGGAACCGCCCGGTTCCGAACCGTGGCCATGTCTAATGGGTATTAATATCCCTAAAGAGTGCCTACTAATAGAACCCACAATTTTTCGGATAAGATTGGATTGCACGGGCAAGTTTATATTCGACTCGGGAAGTCCTCATTCTCCTCCTGTTCAAACTGCTTATAATATCGTGAAAGAGGAAATAATCGGCATCTGCACCTCCCTCAATCAAGAAATATGAGCTTTTGCTATCCGAGTTCTCGTGGGATTTCACATATCCAAGCATGCCAATCCATTTTGAACAAACAGATCTTTTTTCTCCCCGAGAGAAATGTTTCTAAATTCTTCAATGAGAGTTTTTGCTTGAATGTTTATGCCCATAAACGGTCGAGGTCGTAGCGTGCACGGTGCATTTTAACCAGCAAATCATCAATTCTTGTTCGAATCCCAAGCATTTCTTGTTTCTTTTGCACCGGAAGTGTGTCCTGACTTGATCAACGATCGAACAATCCAATGGGAGGAAAAATAAACGTGGCAACTTAAGGTTCAGAGACTCTTGGTCACGATGAATGAGAATTATATTTTGTATTTATGGACGGATGAATACACTAGCGCCGAAAAGAAAGATAATAAAAAGGAAAAAGGAGAGGGAGAGGAAAAAAAATAAAGGAGAAAATAACACAAACAGTTCCTGAACTTTGACTCAATATGTAATGTGATTTATAAACTTTTAATTTGTTCAATGTAGTCCATGAACTTTAATCCGATGTGCAATGTGGTCCCTAAAATTTTGGTACATTTTCATATAATTCAGGGACTAAATTGAACATGTATCAAATATTCATGAACCATATTGAGCAAATTAAAAGTTCAGGGATCAAATTCAACATTATGCTAAATTTTATAGACCACATTAAATAAATTAAAATTTTACGGATCAAATTACACATTTGATCAAAGTTTAGGGACTGTTTGTGTCATTTCCCAAAAAAAGCCTGTTTTACCATTTTCTTTTTCAGAAATCGGGGCTTGCGATTTTGGGCCTGCATTGGGCCCGAGCGAGATTCGGGCCCGAGCCCAAGAGAAAGGCCACGTCAGCATTCGAGCCCCACCCGGTGGGCCCCCACAGCTCACTCGCTCCGTCCAATCAGCGAAGGCCTGCAGCGTCACCAGTCGCGACACGACCACCGCCGCGCCGGTCCCACCAGAAACCGCCACCTCCGACAACCCTCACTCTCTCTCTCTCTCTCTCTCTCTCTCTCTCTCTCTGCGCCATCAAAACACAGTAGAGCGAGAGAAGAGAGAGAAGCGAGAGGATCCGGCGTAGGCGCAGCGGCGAGAAGAGAGAGAGAAGGGAGAGATGCACTCCTTCGGCTACAGGGCGAACGCTCTGCTCACGTTCGCCCTGACCATCCTCGCGCTGGTGTGCGCCATGGTCTCCCTCTCCGACAACCTCAGCTCTCCTTCCGCCTCCGCCGAAATCCAGGTCGGTCGGTCGGTCGGTCGCTCGTCCTCTGTTCGTCTCCTCCGCGCCAGCGTTCTTTTGCTTCCGTCGATTTGCGTTTCCTCGGATCTGAAGCTCGGCCGGTCTTTCGATGTCCGTGCCCGTGGATGTTCGAGTTTGAGAGTCCCTGGGTGGTGTGTGCGCTTAGCGGGACGTCGTGTGTAGTAGCGGCGCTTATCGGGGACTGATGTTCTCTGTGATGTTATTGTCCTCAATTGATTCGGCGAAAAACCTGCAAAATCGTGACCTTTACGTGGAGCGCCTTGACGTGAACGTAGCGTTACAATTTGATAGAGAAATCTAAAGGATCGGCCAGATACCCGTGAGCTTTGATTTTGCTGTGCTTGTTGAATTTCTGGGTACCTTTTCAAGGCTCTTTTTTTTTTTTTTTCCTGAAAGACAAGCTCGTGAAGGTTGATCTTAGCTGTTCGGTTCATAATGACAGTCTAAGGATGAGGAGCTTCCTTTGTAATTCCATGAGTTCATTGCCCTGATGTCATTTCACTTATCGGATTGCTCATAAATTGTTTCTTTGTTGTATTTTGTGTCAAAACTTTTAAACAGCTTAGATTTTTTTTTTTTGGTCATTTGTGCAATTTTTTGTAACGCCAATTGAACTTTTTCGTACTTCCATTAGGTAATTTTGAGATGCCGGTTTCTTCTTTTACTTTTTTCGTGATTGTACTGTTGATATGTAAGATGATGAAATTGGCATATTGGGTTGATTGATGCTTTTGTCCATTTTATTTGATCGATGGATTTTGCAATGCATGCAGATCTTGAATATTAATTGGTTTCAGAGACATCCTGATGGAAATGATGAGGTATGATGCTTTTTTCTTGTGTTCTGCTATCTGCAACAAATATTCGTCCTGCTAAAGCTACCTTGGGTGTGCCACAGTCAGTAGATTTATTAGCATGACCATTCGAATGGTCTAGCAGTTGGGGATTTCTTGAATCGGTTGGTAATCATGCTTTTTTTATTTCTGATGGTATCGGAGTCGAGAATACTGCAAACTTTACACTGGAACGATATATTCTCGACGGACATGCCTTATATGTAGATTAATTCATCTGCCTGTTATATCTGTCATACCTACTCATTTGGTCGATGTTACCCACATTGTTGTCATACCTCATCCATTGCTGGCCATTCACATCTATTGCCTCTTGTATTCACTATGTTTCATGGACTTGCAAGATTGATGTCGTGGTCCACACAAATCTTCTTTTTCTCTGAATGAATTTGAATTATTTTATTGGTTGAACGGACTTTCTTTTTTGGTTGTATGCAGGTCAGCTTGACCTTAAATATAACGGCAGACTTGCAGTCCTTGTTTACATGGAACACCAAGCAGGTTAGAAATAGCACATACCATGTTGTTCTTGACAGTTGTGGCCTTTAGTGGTCGTGTGAATTTAAAGCACCTATGCAAGTACGGAATTACTTCATTTTTCGTTTCTTCAGTAATGGAACTATCTGTGCTATTTTCAGAACAGTCAAGAAAAGAGATTTCACTTAGTCCGTAAAGATAGAGAATTTGAAAGAAAGAATTGTGCTACCACAACCTATTTCTTTATCTGCTTGGAGCCGTTGAGCTATATTCTGCATCATTATTTGATTCCAAAAAGAAGAAAATTTTTATTAAGTAGCTCCTTGAACTGTCTGCAGGTTTTCGTCTTTGTAGCAGCAGAATATGAAACCTCAAAGAATTCATTGAACCAGGTAAACTTAAGAGGACGTTTAGAAGCAAGAGTTTTGTTTATATTTTCTGATCAACGGCATTTTTTCTTCATGAATATGTGAAACCTCTCACATTCACTGATGTTGATGGAGCTAAAATTAGCATAAATTGCCATTTCTTGGCACATAAGTTATGTAAGTTACGATGCTTGTGGCACTGGATCGCATGAGCTTAACCATCGATGACTGTGAATATGCTCTTAATTTTCTGTGGAAACATCTCTGAACAGGTATCTGTGTGGGATGGCATTATCCCTGCCAAAGAGCATGCAAAGTTCTGGATCCAGACATCAAATAAGTACCGTCTAATTGATCAGGTACTCCAGTCTTTCTGATGATAGTTTCTAACAAATTTATCTGAATTGAGTGTTGAATTGGTGGTTCTTTACACGTTCTTTTAAGCCATCCACAGGCCTAACTGTCATTTATCTTCTTATAGGGAGATAATCTTCGTGGCAAAGAATTCAACTTGACATTGCACTGGCATGTGATGCCGAAGACAGGAAAGATGTTTGCAGACAAAATAGTCATGTCGGGGTACCGCTTGCCAGAGGAATATAGATGAGACGAGAGAGACTTGTCTTGTGTTGTTGCTGTACCTCAGGGCATTCATATGGATACAACGTCTTGGACAAAGTTAGAATTAGAAACTAAGAGAGCTGATATCCCGAATTAGAATACACATCTAAAAGAATAGGCAGTCTTCTTTGCCATTTTGCCCTTGCCCTCAGTAGCGTGCGCATGGCTTCTTTGGAACTGTCGAGAACTTGATTACTGGAATTGTATGGGCAATTGTAGGTTTTTAGATCAGTGGAAGCATGTAATGCTCACTCAAGTCAATGCTTATACAACCACGCGAGGGGTAACTTTAGGTTCAACTGGTGTTTGGAAAATATTTGGTAGCTGAAGCATCCTGCAATCGCTTTGTTGGAAGCTGCCTCTATCTAGGCCGTGCAAAGTTTTGTAGCTGTGAGTTACCGACATTTAGTTTACCATGGAATTAGTAACTTCCTCCGGTTGGTAAGCTGTGCAATAACTGTTGGTAAACTATCAGTACAGTTGGTATTTTCGAAACAATCCGTTAAACGTTAGTAATTGGCCCTAATACTAGCTGATTGTTTCATGCGAGAGTAACTTAAAAGTATCGGTAATCTATCAATGTGTTATAGGCCTAGTAATGTTCCAATTTTCTGCTGGAACAGCATAATCTTCCTATTCAAGTTAAGGAAATGAACTTGATCCATCATCATCTGGTTGCAAAAGGAGTCCAAGACAGCATGGGTGAACGTTGGCTGCTTTCCTTTTCGGCTGTGGGTGATGTTCAGATATCAGTAAAATCCTAGTGTCGCTGTCCATCCGTACACTATCCTGCCCTATTTTCAGTTGCAGGTAGGCCACATACCCAATTGTCATGTCGCAGAAAGAACTCTGTCCACATGAAATCTCATCGAATGAATTGATGATCCTTTTAGCTACATCAGAATTGGGTGCTATCATGTAAAGGAAGCCTGAGAAAATGGAATGATTTTGCCTTCAACGAACCACATATGTGGTCATTTCGGATTGGCTTTTCTCCACAGTAGAGGAAAAAAACCCAATCCTAATGAACTCCAAAAATAAAAGATTGGGTCATTCATAATTAGTACCAACTCTGGATTTAGGTGATGGCAAGTTTGATAATGCATTCTTCTTCAAAAGTTTACGCAACATTTATCATATCTTTTCTTCAATTAAGCTAACCATTAATAAAGTTGTGTCATTTACTGACTTAGTTCTTATCTACTAAATTTGAATGGACATGTGATTCCTTCTCCTCTCGCCTGCGCTCCGGTTTTCTTCCACCTGATTTTCACAGTATAAATTACTTAGAAAATGCGCAAAACCTTCTAATTAGTTATTTCATAAGCACGCTTCCTCTGTCAATGGTGCAAAATTCACTGCCGTAACATCATCGGTATTGTTTATAGAGGAAAGATTGAGCACCAAACGGTCACCAGCGACCCTCGTGAACAATCATGTCCATGGGACATTGAGGGTAAAATATGGATCCATCCGAGGGCAAACACGCCATAAAGAAAAATAAAATAAAATGTGAAAGTGACAAAATAGACAGACAAAAGAATCCTTTTTTATAATTTTACTTGGCATATTTTCGTGTGTTTTTCAGTTGAGTTCTTAGGTATGTGTCGCAACAAAATCAGACATCAATCATTACCAAGCACAAAAAACAGCAAAATCCAAGATCAGATCTTGCCCCTGTGTACGGTACGAGATCACCCTCGAGAAGCCTTCGTTTAAATCTCTGTACCCACTTTTTATTCAGACCCAGAAGAACAACATCATATCAGATCCAAAAGCTTCTCTGACATATCTGCCTTTTCTTTCTTTTTTTTCGCTTGCTCCTTTTCAACAGCCCCGAGTTTGCACGTAAAAGAAGGTAACACCCTCTTCGTCTCTCTTCCTGATTTTTCAAACGTCCATGCAAACACGGAAAGAAAAGAAAAGAATCATCAGTGAAATGCATGAAATCTTGTATTTGAGTCATGGATTGTGCGCTTGGACGATGCTTGGTCGGTGATTTCTGGGCTCCACGTTGCCACGGTGTTTTTCTTGATCCAAACATTTCGGATCTGATGGATCAGTGATAAGAGACTGGTCTCATTAGTTTGTGCTATAATGGTACTTTGGGTTTCTTTTTCAACGTTTTAAGTTTCTTGTTCAGGCTAATTCTGGTGGAGCAGTTGATGGGATTTTATTTGTCGATGGTTGGTTTTCTTGGTCAGCTTTATGATTTGATAGCGTTATTAGCTACACGAATAGCTGGAATTTTCTGGATATGAGACATAATCGTTCTTCTCTCTTTTCAGTTTGAACGAGCTGAATCCTTCAGTGGATTTGCCTTCATTCCAGGCAGTTAGCAGATGGCATCAACTCTATATTGTAGTGCTTTGGAAATTGGGATATAGTGTTTTGCTTCGCGTGGACAGTGGAAATAAAGAATTAGAGAATTCACAAATCTGGTTCATTCTTTTTCCACAAAAGTTCCCTGAATCTCGAATGTTAATGGGGCAATATGCTCAGCATTAGCCTTGTGGAGGGCTTGGATAATTGATAGCACGATTACATGATCTTTCTGTGCTTTATTAGAATGTCTGATCTGACAGCTTTACTATGTGTAATCTGGACAGAAACCAAATGCCGTTATTCTCTATTCTGCTTCCAGTTTCACAGTCCATAAAGGCACTAAAGTGGAATTTCTTTAGTTTCCTTTTTGCTTCATTTATCGAACTCACAATCCTGCGCTCCTACATATGTGGATCTCACATTCACCATGATCGAAACAGTGTTCATTCTTATTTGTGTTAGCAGCTGATCCTTATTCTCTTTTTTGGTCTTAGTTGTGCTTGAATCAAGATGGATCAGCAAGGACACAGTCAACCTCCACCGATGGGGGTTGTTCCTGCCACAGCTCAATTGCCCTACGGCACGATGCCTTATCAGCCAGGCCAGATGATGGGCCCTTCGAGTTTCGCGCCCATTCAGCCAACTAGTCAGCCTCAGCCGCCTGGATCCCAGCTTGCACATAACCAACTGGCCTATCAGCAAATTCACCAGCAGCAGCAGCAGCAACTGCAGCAACAGCTCCAGTCTTTCTGGGCAAACCAGTATCAAGAAATCGACAGGGTCACTGACTTCAAGAACCACAGCCTCCCGTTGGCCAGGATCAAGAAGATTATGAAGGCCGACGAGGACGTGAGGATGATCTCGGCCGAGGCGCCGATCGTGTTTGCTAGGGCCTGCGAGATGTTCATCCTGGAACTGACACTGCGCTCCTGGAACCACACCGAGGAGAACAAGAGGCGGACGCTCCAGAAGAACGATATTGCAGCGGCCATCACCCGGACTGATGTCTTTGACTTTTTGGTGGATATTGTTCCTAGGGAGGAGCTGAAGGAGGAAGTGCTTGGGGCAGTTCCAGGACGAGTGCTGCCTGCCAATGGGCCCATGGATGGGCTACCGTATTGCTATGTTCCGCCACAGCAGGTGTGTCAGGCCGGGCCTCCGGGGATGTTTGTTGGTAAGGGTGTGGTTGATCCCACCATGTACCCGTACATGGCTCAGCAAATGTGCCCCGAGACATCAGAGCAGCAGCAATCTCCATCAGATCATCAGTAGTTAAGATATGGAGTAGAGGAGAAAATGTAAGTTTATTTGCGAATTCTCCTCAACTTAATTATAAAGCGAAGTTATGGCATATAACATTGTGTGGGCTCGTATTGAATTCTAGCTGTGACTTCTTTGGGAATGACCCACTTATGGTTTCATATGTATGTGACCATATGCTTGCACATGCATCCGAAAGTTGAATCGTAAGGATCATTGATGAAGTGATTAGTATGGACATTGGTATGTGTGGATATTTTTTGCTTTCTGATATCAGAATTCAGGGTTTCTCTGTTGTTTGATATTATTCTAGATCAAACTGATTTGGTAAGTATCTTCTTTGACAGATTCTCTCTCCACTTTTAGGCCAATTGGTATCCGAAGAATGGAATGAGAGGCCTTCTGAGTTGATAACATGATCCTGACTCGAAAAGAGTGAAGATTATGCATAACATGATTGACAAGAGTAGCTGATCTTGATTTAGCCTATGTCACATTCTCAGTTTTCCTTGTTTTAGTAACCTAAAGATACCAAAATAGTGGTCATTTTGGTATCTGATTTGTTTAAAAGGATCATGAATTCATCCTGCACTATGTTCTAGACCTTCTTAAAGTGCAATTGGTCGGTGTGCTTTGGCATGACAGTGAAATTCATGGATAGATTTGTTCGGACTTCGGAGATTGTTTGATGGGCCCCGAATTCCAGAATACAGGAATAGGACATATTTGTGGATAGTATGGGCCAATCCTAGGTGCCCTGCGCACATACTGACTATACGAAGGTTGACTTGATCCCTTCTGTCTTATTACTGTGATTTGAGCCACATCTAGGTAAGACCAGGACAAGAAACTAGAAAAGCCAGATAACACCCTTGGACTTATCCAGGACTTGGAATTGCCAATACTGTAGACAAAAGCCATTTGAAACTAAGCCCGACAGTCGGAACATCTCACACTCTTCATCTGGCTCGCCGTGCCTCGGCATAGGTAACGAAAGGGACAAGCCAGAAATCGGAACCAGATAAACTTACTTGCATAATCTGATTTTATGTGCAGAGCAGCATATATGTTCTATAGGGAAACAAGAGTATCCAATCCTTTAAAGGGCAAATATAGCTCATCAATAGAATGGATAACCACTTGATTTAACTTTTGAAGGATATGCTGGTTTTTGTTTCGATATAGTGACTAGTGCACAGGAGCCAGGACACGAGGGGTCTAACTTCATAATGGCTACCGACCCGAAGTTCGCCCGTCTCATGGCTGCAGCTAGCGCTGCTCCTTGTAACTTCGGTTTTGTTGCCAGCCATAACATCGCTGCGCTCCTTCTCGCGTTCGATCTGTGGGAAGACATGAACTTCGAGTCACTCTTTTCAGTGCTGCACCATCGACTTGTGATGTTCAAGCCGACTGCAAGGCCACAATTAAAGGAGTGACCACAACGAACGATCAGCAGAGGCTCCCCAGGTTCGAGATGACAGCTGAAAACTTATGTCCGCCCAGAGACTTCTCCATCTCCTTTTAGCCGCCGCGCCCCAACCAAACCAGAAATTTTCTTTGCTGATTTTGGCTCAACAAATTTAAAGTTTATGAGCCATATTGCATATTGGGTCAAAGTTCATAAACAATTTATGCCATTTATCCTAGGTCTTTTTTCCTGGCCCTCATCTCGTACATGGTCAAATCCCTTTTTTCTAATTCCTCAAAACAATGTATCGAGACAACTCGGTCAAGACAGTAAAACATTCGCAAGTATTCCTATTTCGAATCTTTCGATTCATGGATTCCGCACGAGCCAAACCTCCAAATTGAACCCGTTCACGAGCCTTACAGGGTGTTTCCATGAGCGCTCGCTCTCGGATAGCCGGATTTCCACACCCCGGTGCCCTGGACTGCAAGACATTGAAAATACGGAATGGACGGCTCAGATTCAATGCAGATTAATCCAACCGTCCATAATTTTTTTTTTTTAACCCGAAGCCTTCAGCCACACGGTCATAGAAAAATGGTCCTTGCCCAGCCCCCACGAAGCTTTACAAATCTTGAAAGCCCCAAAAACAGAGGCAGAACGCGCGAGGAAAGTTCTTCGTCTTCCCCCCTGCTCTAGGGCTTCGATTCGATCAGCTTCGTCCCAATCTCTCTTCCCCTTCGGCCCCCCTTCTTCTTCTCCTTCTTCTTCTTTCGACGACAAGATCGCCGGAAGAACGCCGCGCGCGCGTCCGGCGATTCGCCGCTCAAGAACGTGCGTTCCAGATCGCAAAATCTCGGGCTGACGAGCGATTCTTGGGTGGGCCACCGGTGGTCGTTCGGAGAGATATCTCGAAATGTGAGTATGAATTGGAACTCTTTTTATGCGTGATTTCGTGCTTGGGAAGCGAGGTCAGAGATTGAAATTGTTGTTGTGGTTTTATCAAATGTGAGAAGTGGTATGGACATTTGATCCTCAGCCCTGGTAAGAGTTGCAATTTCGTGAGCTCTGTGCGACTGTTGAGCGAGGGAAGGTTAAAACATGGGGGGGGCGGGCTTATCACTGGGTGGCTAGTGTTTTTCTCTCTACATAAGTTGGGTTCACAGCCTAGAGTTTGACCCTTCATTGCTGAGGGGCGAGGGCTCATGTCTTTGAGATTCGTAAGCCTTCGCGAAGGATCACCCTTCTGACTCTCTATTGTATGTACGCGCGACAAGCATTCCGACCCGCTCTGTATTCACCAGTATAAGTGCGTGTGCATTATGAAGGGAGTCTTTCTCGTGATTCTGGAGCCATCCGTCGTTTATTTAAGTTGAGTTAAACATATAGTTGGAGGGTATAATCAGTTTCCAATTGCAGCTAGAAGTTAGCATTTCGCAGAAAGAAGTCGACGTGAGCTGTAGATTTTCACTCTGTAATAATCCTTTTCAACTGTTTTTTTCTGGAGGAAAGCCTACCTTTCTTATGTTAGTGTCTGAAATCCATAAACCAGAGTATGGACAAGAGAGAGATATTTGTATTTTGTCCAAAGTGCAGGGGTCTGCGCTGCAGTTTTATCTTTGCAGATGATAGGAGACGCTTATTAAGAGAATATAACTAATGGCTTTTGTTAAGGGATAACTTTATTTATCATTATGAGTCATTTCAGCTGTATATTTGTATATATTCACATTGTGTATAGGATAACTAGATAAGGCATTCATAATTAATCCCCAATAGTTATGTTTCAAACCCCCCTCTAATCTTCTAGTTTCGCATGGTATCAAAGCCACAAATGGATATTGAAGCCTTAATTTTTTCTCCAATGACTTAGGGCTTGTTTGATAAGCTTGGTTGATAACCTTAAATAGAATTGACTTAAATAATTCGATTAAGTAAAAAATCCACTTAATCTGGTAAGTGAGGGAGGAGGTATTTAATATTTTCAATAGAAAAATAATTGATGGTAAATAAAATTTTGCTAAATATATTGACACCTATAATGGTCTTTTTTCTATGTTAGGTAAGAGACTAATGATAATGAGCTATCAAATTTAATTATCAGTAAACAACTTTTTAATTCTATTTTCAGCACCTAAGATTATCAACCCTTAAAATTCATTACTTTTATTGTCAGCACTTAATTTTCGGTTTTACCAAACAGGCCCTTTGTGTCATGGATATATTTTTTGTTAAATTGAGGGAGGGAGAATACTTCCATGTTTAGGCACTGATTTATCACGAGATTCTGCTGTATTCTTGAACTTCTTATCAAGTCTATCCTACTATGTTCTATGAATCCCTTTCAGAGCTAATATATATCTGAATAGTTTGCTGGTGATATGTATGAATTGTCTTTGTATGAAAAGGAAGTATTGTATGAAAATTCAAGAAGTTGGTTGGTACTATTATCATATTCATGAAATTTCTCGTGTCTGGACACTTCTTGGTTATTTTATAGGTCATCGAGAGGAAAGACAAATAATGGAACCGAGCAGCACATAGACCCACAGCTGCCAATCCTTGATGTGGCACCTCTTAATAGTGTGCCATATTTTGGTCCACCTATATCACATAGCAATGTTGCCCCCTCACAGCCGGAGATGGAGACAGAAGCTGTGGAAAGTGTTGGGCCCTCCATCATGTATTTCCCTTCTCATTCTACAGAAGAGTGGAACAAACTGCTTGCTGCTGCTAAATCTGGGATTGGACTGGTTGGCAGTGCAGCTATGGGAAGGATGGGACCAGTGGTTGGAGCTGTAGACATTGGAGAATGCGAGGACTCTTACCTGTTCAGGGTCTCCCTTCCTGGAGTCTCAAGGGATGAAAGTATGTATTGGTACCTTGTAACTTATTAAACACTTCGCTTCACTGTTTATACTTTATTTTATATTATTAGGAGAGATTCGTAAGTTGAAATGCTTAAACTTGATTTACTATGTTGGAGCCAATAAAAGTATGTTGAAGCATGATCAAATTTTTGCTGATGACACTGAAAGTTATGAGGATCAGTAGTGAGATCTCTTTAAATTGAAGTTAGATTTATACTTGTGAATTGTGTACTCAGGCGTTACTAGTGTAATCTGGACGCTGTGATGTTCTGAGACTTGTTGTAAAGTGGATTTTCTGATTTCATTTGCTCGTGTCATGAAGTTTGCTGTTTTGAAGCTGACCATTTTTGATGATGCAGAGGATTTCAGATGTGATGTGGAGCCTGATGGGAAAATATTCATAAAAGGAGTAACAACTACTGGTGAGAAGACTGTCGTAAAGAATTCCCAAATCTTCAAGATGACGCAAAACTTATGCCCACCTGGACACTTCTCGATCTCTTTTCGGCTACCAGGTCCTGTTAATCATCAACAGCTAACTGGTTTTTTTGGTACTAATGGTATTTTAGAAGGTATTGTGAAGAAGAGGAACTACTAGAGCTTTCTGTAGGAGCACAGGCAAGAGCATCACAATGTTATAGCTGTCGACCATGATGCGGTTGTAGGTTTTATTGATTTGGAAAGAGGGGTAGAAAAGAAGAGTGCTTCAACTTGTAGAGTTTCCTCGAGGGCATGAGGACAAGGATTGCGACATGTACTAGTTTGAGAACTTTGAAAGTGTCTTCCAGGAGTTGGGAGTATCCATTAAGGACTTCTCTGCCTCCTGTCCCTCAAGAGTGTTAGTTTTTCACAACCTCTCTTTTTACTGCAGAAGTCAGTTCTGCTGTTTAAATCTGAGGATGGTTTAGAGAGCTGAGATTATTTGCACTCCTGCCTTAACTTGATGAATGTTAGGAGGAATGCCAATTGCAAGAGCCTTTCATGGAGAGATAATTTTACATAGCGGACTGTGGTGTCACACTTAAGTGACCTCATTTTCAGTGCATGTTCACAGTGCGGCAAGCAAACATATGATCAACATGCGACATCATTATCAACATGACAATATGAGCGTTGCATTAAAGTCTTTTTCCTGGTTGCAAGTGATGATACTCATCGGTCTGGATAGTCCATTTGCAAGTATGATTCCCACGTATGTGTGCTTTGCAGTAGCAACACACGTGATGAGATGATAGTTTACGAGTATTTCTACTGTACATTTTAAGACTTGATGGCCAACTCAGATTAATCGAAGGTTCTCGCCTTCTTGAGTTCGTGTGCATGGTACGTCGTTAAAAGAGAGAGAGGTGTGCAAGTGCCACTATAGCATAACTGGGAATTTGTAAGATTCATTAGCGTACCTTATTTTTACTTTTTTAACTATTGTTTCATACTTGGTTATGATAATTTGCCGTGTGGAAATTAATTGAATTTGCGACCCGTTATGACGTTTTTGTAGTTAATTACGAAATCCCATCGTAATGTCCCACCTGAGACGCAATAGGAATGCCCTAGAACATGATACGCTGAGACAAGTACTTGGAAAATACGATCACGAACTCGATTTATTGCATATCCCTTGTCGACAGACATTTTCCCGAAGAAACACACATGGAAATTGCCGAAATTTCTGCCTATCATATCTGTCATGGTCCAAAAGATCCGCAGAAAACTCTCACCAGCATCTCTAAGCTACCAAAATTTTCCAGGTCTTCTTCTTCTTCGTCCTATTTGTCTCCCCAATGCTAGTCCTTGAAACCAGCTCTTCCGTTGTAGTACCTCCTCCTTCCTCAGCCCCAAAAACGACACAGCCCCAAGAAAGCAAATCCCCAAGACCCCATTTTTAACCACTGCCGTGCCCTTCTTCTTGCTCCACCCTCCAATCAAGGCGAGCCCAAACAAGCCCAAACCCAGAATCCTGCAAACCGCAAGGCTCTCCGTTTCGCCCACAAGCAACAAGCTCAATCCGCACGCCACCAAGATCGCCCAAAACCCGAACTTCCGCCTCCCTCCTCCTCGCCTCCAGCCATCGAACCATCCCCACCCAGAGCCGCCTCCCCAGAACCACCCTGGTCCTCCTCCGCTCCCATCTCCGCCGCCCAGTTCTTCGGCTATCAACTGCAACTGACGGGGCGGCGCCTTGAGGTTCGAGGCGATGATGGGTATCAAATTGAGCACGAGCCTCGCGAATCTCCGCGACCCAGATCGATTCTTCTTCTTCTTCCTCGAGAAGACGGATGTGCTCGAGAAGCGCCTGTGCGCGAGAACCGAACCTTTCGATGCGATGACGGGAAGAAGGTGGTTGTTGCTGCTGCTGGGGAGGAAAGCTTTCATCTTGATGATGTGGTGCGAGAGGAATGCGTGATGGGAGTGGAGGCACTGCGGCTGGAACGAAAGGGCCATTTGCAGTATGCGCTCTGCGTGCTTTCTGCTTCGAGGAAGACGGAAAGAAGGATGGAGGAGGAGAGAGAGGAGGGGAGAGGAAGATGAGATGACCGTTTGGAAGGAAGAAGTGCGGAACTGCTCGATTTCCATTCAAAACATTTTTCCAAAGACGACTTTGCTTTTGTATTGTTTTGAATTATGAAAGCTTCACTTTATGAAATATGGACTAAGCCTATTCAAATTTTGGGTCGTCAAATATTGTACATAAGAATCGGCACAAGTTGGCACATAATCGAGAGCGCCAAACACAATTAAGCCGCGAATTTACGTGAATCTGAAAAGAAAAATTTATCTTTCAACTTTTTAAAAGTGTTAGGTTAATTACGGGACAAGTCTTGGATTTAAAATGTTTCGTGTGTTTGAGTCGTAAAACTTTCATTTCGGGTATTTGAGTCTTAAAATGGCTTGTGCATTTTGTTCTAATTGAGTTTTCGGTTATCAACAAAAGGAAGAACTCAAAGTGCCTCGAGATTGCAATTTAAGACTCAAAGGAACGAAATACAGTTTTAAGACTCAAATGCACAAAATCGACAGGTTTCAAGACTTATCCTGTAACTATCCCAAAGGGTTACAACGTCCCTAATTCGAGCACTAAACTTAAAGTTCTAGTTTATTTATTTTTGGCTTTTGCCATAGAGTAGAAATTGGTACTTGTGGAAATCTTGATAACTTAGAATTATTCAACCGGTCCGATCAAAATTTAAAAGCAAATCGATTCATCGATCTCGCAATCCCAATAGATTTTAATGCCATTTTTCCAGGAAAAGAAAAGGAGCTGCATAGAATTTGTGTCGGCATAAGTTTTAGCACACCATGTCATTATCAAAACCGAGTGGCTTCTCAAGCATTAAGACGTGGACGTGCTTTGCTACCACGTGGAAGCTACGAAATCACAACCCGCCATATCTTAAAAAAAGCACAGTTGATGAAGATGCGATTTAATATACTAGTGTTCTTTTTCAAACGATTCTCTCCGTCCACTAAAAAGCTCTCTCAATTGTGGCCCCGTGGGAATGGTGTTCTCATGTTGCTGAAGGATGGCCATGTCCAACGCGGATTGAGGTTAACATCTATTTACAGAAAAGCGTAGCGTCCCTCTATATGAGTGGAGAGGCCGGACCACCTAATATTTTCTCTTACACGATTGGATGAGACTGCACCAGAGAATGTCACAGCTCCAATCTGTCCCCAGCCGTCCAACAGTGACAGAGGGAGAGCAAAAGGGAACAACCTCTCTTTATGGCCTAACTACTCTACAAGTTTGACTCCTACATCTGTGCTAGAGTGAGGAGGGTCCTAGAACTTTGCTCGTAATATGAAGCGCAAAACCGCTATAAAACTATGTCCTTAAGCTGATTAGTTCATTGGTATATGCTCTATTTCAGCAGACAGTGTGAAAAACGAGTTCTTGTCGGATCCGGGATGGATAAGACGATCATGGGGAGTGCTAAACTCGACAGGAAATTTCCCGTTTATGGATCGGTAGTCGGTACAACGGGCGATCGTTCTGCTGATTTTGCATCAGGGACTCTACAACGGCGAGGCAAGAAGTGGTAGCGCTCCTTCACTTGCTACCCTTTTTCTCTCTTGCTACGAGTGTTGATGTTCATATAAATGCTCGAATTCCTTTGCGGCTCCCCTATTTTGTTTGATGCAGTGACAGCAATGACTGATAACTAATTGATGCAGGATTATGCAGACAGGAGTTGCTAGCGATCTTGTCATACAACTGGGAAATCTCAGCTTTCACTTGCACAAGGTACGCCCAGTTGTCAGAATTGTCGTATGTTTTACATTGCTTAAAGTTTAGGAACACGTCCACTCTGATGTCGACGACGATCCGAGTAAAGACTAGTTGAACTTGCATTTTCCCGAGACACAGTCATGGTAACATATTCCGTAGATATGTAGTTCTTTATTTTGCATCGTGTAATTAGATTAGCTTTCATGTTTCTAGAGTCTTATTGACCTGCTAAATGTAGAATGCCATATTGCCGAGAGTTCAAGCTGTCCTTTCATTAGAATTTCCTTAAAAGGGGAAGATGCGAACGCCAATTATGAATTGAAGACATTCGATTCTTTCTACATATTGCCATTTGTTTGAACTATCATTGCTTTCTGACGTCCAGCTTCCCATGGTCTCAAGAAGTGGCTATATAAATAGATTGGTCTTTGAAAGGAAAAGCAAAGCAGAAAGCGAGAATTCCATGCCTATAAACTTAGACAATGTTCCTGGTGGAGCGAAAACTTTTGAGTTGGTAGTGAGGTTCTGTTACGGCCTGAAGCTTGATTTTACGGCATCGAACATCGCCCCTCTGTACTGTGCTGCACATTTCTTGGAAATGAGTGTTGATTATCACGAATCGAACCTCATTCCCCAAACTGAGGCATTTTTAAGTTTTGTGATATTCTCATCTTGGAAAGACATATTCCATGTGCTTAAAAGTTGTGAGAACTTGTCTCCATGGGCCAAGGAGTTGAAAATTTTGAACCGGTGCTCAGAGGCCATAGCTTGGAAAGCCTGCTGCACTGATCATAAAGCATTCAACTTCAGTACTTGCGACACAACCCTCTTCGATATTCAAGGGAATAAGTTAACATACTTGAAAGTCGAAAATTTTTTTGATCAATGGTGGTTTGAGGATGTCTCGCTGCTGCGGATAGATCATTTCTTGGAAGTGGTAGATGCGTGCAAACGAAAAGGGATGAGACCTGACCTTATCGGTGTATCTATAGCCGAGTGGACCCAAAAATGGCTTTCAAGAGTGACGTTGCTCGACAATCTGACAGCCCAGAAGCTAACTTACCAGTTGCAACGAGTTGTGATCGAGAGCTTGATAAGGGTACTTCCATTAGAGGAAAATTCTGTCTCTTGCAATTTTCTACTTAACCTTCTCAAGGTAGGTCTACTCATGGAGATCGACTCTGATCTGGTAAAGACGCTGGAGAGAAGAATAGCCTTCATGTTGGAGAAATGCCGCATGCTCGATCTCTTGGTCGAGAATCGAATAGATGGCGATACTACGTACAATGTCAGAGTCATTATAAGAGTGGTGCAATGCTATGTTTCCGTTGTCTGGAAAAATCATCCCCCAAAACTATTCGCTGTAGGAAGACTGATCGATGGGTACCTCGCATTCGTGGCGAGGGAGGAGAGACTCACGGTCAAGGACTTCCGGTCCCTTGCAGAGGCATTGCCAGAAGATGCTCGGTTTTGCGACGATAACCTCTATAGGGCTATAGACATGTACATCAAGGTATGTTACGTTTCTGCCGCTTTTTAGATGCTACAATTCGATCATGCAGTTGCACTAGATTCTTAATCATGTCACTGAAGTTCTACGGCGCGTTAAGAGTATTTTTCGGTGATCTACTAGCTCAAGAGCTGACTTGCACAGAAAGCTCATACTGGTTAGAAAGAAAGTGTTTTTATGTCTAATCTAACATAATTGTATTGAATTGTCATCAAGGCACATCCTAGCATAACAGAGGCAGAGAGAATGGGAATTTGCAAGGCAATGGACTACCACAAACTGTCGAAAGAAGCGTGCGAGCACGCGTTGAAGAATGACTGGTTGCCCCTGGACATGATGACAAGATTCATCCTCATGGAGCAAGTGAACATGATGAGGTCGGCGACTAAATCGGGATCAGATTATCAAAGAACGGCCACACAAGCGATCCTCAGAACTAGTACCGGCTCGAGCCACGGCTGGTTGAGTTCACAGAAGGAGGTGAGGATGATGAGGAAGGAGGTGGATGCGATGCAGGCGCAGATAAGGCAGTTGCAGCTGTGTAAATTGAAGCTTCAGACACAAATGAGAGAAGCCAAATAGAGACAGAAAATCCGATAGGCCTGTGACATCATGTCAACACGTTACCTGGCGTAGGATTAGATGGCTTTGCTTGAAGAATCTTAAGGAAGTGGTGTATGGTCATTAACTTTGAGAATTGAGTTGAGCTGGAAAATTCTCACTCCTTTCAACTTTTGTTGCTGACAAACATTTGATTTCGACCGGATAATAAATGGGTTTTGAATTTTCTTCGATGTTCAATGTGATGATTCTGCTTTATTTTTTTCAATCTAGTCTACAAATTTGCGAAAATCCACCTATATAGTCCTTCCATTAAAAATTATAACATCTGTGACCGACATATCCATAATTTCTGTTAAATTGACATTAGATTTATTATGTTAGGATCCACATGACTTACATGCGCCTTCCACATCATATTTCTCTCATTATTTTTGTCATAAAGAATGGAAAAAATATTTTCAAACTTGGAAAAACAACATGGAAGTCCACACCACTATTTTGGACCAATAAACATCAACGTGACAGTCAACTCACGTAAGAAAATTCACTAATATAGTGATACGCTTAGGGTTCCGACATTAAATAAATGATGTACTTCTAAAATAGATGAGATGAAATTGTATTACAAACGCTTTTAGTTTTGGCTCAATTATCAAAGGATTTCCAATTGTCGACTATTTAATAATTTACCAAGAGCAAAAGTTACCAAAAACTCTAAATTATATTTACTGTGACACACTTACTTTAAATTTTTTTTTGTTACCCAAAAATTCTAAATTTGTACTTGTGCGACACATTTATTCTCCTGCCACGGTTCCGTTAATGAGCACAATTAAAAATTTGTCAACATGACACCAAAAAGTAAATGGTATTGACGTGGCGTTCATATGGCTTAAGTAAAATAAAAACGAGTTATTTTAGCTAAAAAAATCATTATAATGAAGCCTTAGCGGAGGGTAAATATGTCAAATAAGTATAACTTTGAGATTTTTTATGTAATAAGAAAAATTTTAGGGTAAATATATCATAGTGGGTATAGTTTAGATTTTTTATGTTACAAAAAAAAGTTCATTATAAATGTCACCGTGGCCATAATTTGAAAAAAAAAAATTTATGGGTTTTTCCAATGTTTTAAGTGAAAACCATATATAAGCTTTTGAATGAGTTCGAGCTTGAGCTTTGCGAAATGGAAGAGCAACGAAACGGCATGAGCAAGAGCCACGACCAGGCCGAAAGCGAGAGCGCTTCGTCGTCTTCATCTTCCAGCTCTCACCCATGTCCAATCTGTCTGTCCCCCACTCCACAGCTCCAGGAATCCTACTTAGATCGCTGTTTCCGTACGTCTCTCCCTCTCTCTGATCTATGGTTTCCCTTTTCTATCGTCGATTGCAAATGGGTATGCCTCCAGTCCCTCAACCCGACCAAAAAGCTGCGAACTTTGCAGAGAAACAGCTTGCCCTTTTTCTGCTTTCGCTTGGTCCCTCTATCAGTCTGCTGTAAGAATTCTTACATGACTCTTGCAATCGTGGCTTGGCTGAATCGCCGTTTAAAAAGTTATTCGGGAGATGATTGGGTTCTCCGGGTTATGTTCTTCCGCGACCGTTGTTATCTGAGATTAATGATTTTTTTTTTTTTTGGTGATCTGTTGGATGATTCCGTGTGGTTTCATGGTAGATTGATGGCCCTCTTCTTGCTTGAAACGTTCTTTTAGTTATCAGAGGGGCTTGGGGATGTGAAGGTCCAATGTTTAAAAGAGAGTTTGCAATTCGCAACGGTGAAGAGAGAGTGATTAACAATGAATGGCGCGAAGCTTCTGGCATCGAGCGCGATGTTGTCCTTGTTGCTGATGTTTTATCGCCGAACTATCCCGCTTCATATATTTATGACCCAAGTCCCGCATTATACTGTGAATGAAAACAGTGATAGAGAAGTCGGCGTCATCGCAGTCCCCGAGTGTCGACATGTACGTGGGTCACGTTGTTTCAAATGGTACTGGAGCTCATGCACTGTCTCTATGTGTCATTTGAGTGTGCGACCAATGTGCTGCCAGATTATGTGCACATGAGAAAGATGGGTTTTTTGCCTCAGTGATGATAGCTTGAACAGGGTGTGTCTTTCGAAATTGCTTCGAAAGAAGGGAGATAACCAGCATAGCCTGTTGAAAAGTTGTTTCTTGGTAGTCGAATAGAAAATAAGAGTTGCATAAGCGATGTTAGAGTGTGAAATGTTACGAATTCCAGTGCTCAATAAAGTACTTCTAATGAAAAATGATGTGCTGCAGATAAATTCTGCTACAAATGCATTGTGCAGTGGACTAAAGTGGTTGCCAGCAAGCACTCTGAAGCTCCAAGTTCTTTAATGTGTCCCTTTTGTAAGGTTGTCAACCATATCTTGCTGTCATCCACAGAGATGATCTTTTGTTTTCTATTCGTTTGATCGTCATTAGAACCCACATTAGGGGTATAAGGATTGGGTTTGGCTTGCAGGCTTAGTATTACTTTTGAGGCCTTTTCTGTTCACTTGATTTTATAGTGTTGAAACTTAAGCTGTTGACACTAGCTCCTTATTCTGAAACGTCGGGAATTTTAACATCTTGCGATGCTTAGTCATATTTACTGATCGAACGGAATAAATTTGTTCGTGCAGACTGAAAACTTTTCGATTATCCATGGATATGATGGAAGTTCTTTTGAACGGCATTATGTTAGTCAAATATTTTCTGATAGGTAAAGATTATGTCAAATATTTCTTGTCTACGCTCTTCAAAAAGTTGACTATTGTCCTCACTAATCTTACTGTTATTTGCAGTGTTTTCTTCACAGAAGCGCATAGGTATAGGCTACGCTGCTATTATATCGAACCAGGTATTTCATATGCTTGTAATCAGGTTCTTGAACCTAACTTATGATGCTATCTAGTTGCTACATTTGTTTCCTGACAAAACCTTTTAGCTTTTTCAGTAAATAGTGTGTTCAATCAGGTATCTTAAGCGATGCATTCGATATAAAGCGGTTTTGGAAGTCTCGGAAATATCTTCAGTCAAATCCGTGGCTTTATAGTTGGTTGAAGAGGGAAATTCAAGCTCTAATGCAGGTTGGTATTCCATACAAGTTATTCAACTTGGCTGATTTACTTTCATGGTGAAATGTACATAATGCGAAATGGAAAAAAAAAGGTTCCCTCTTTGAGAAGTTTCTCTGTGGTTTGAAACTCATATAAGTTAATGCATTTGTTCCGCGTGATGGATATGGATCCATATTATGTTCTTAGATTACCTCTTTTATCATTATGCTGTTTTAGTGTTTGAGAAGCACATAACTCATAAGCTATATCCAAAACTGTCCCCTGTTTCATTATCATGATGATTAGAAAAATTGATGCTTAAACGAAGAGCTCCTACCATATGCTAGATAACATTGCCAAACAAACAGGAGGAAATGAGGGATACATTCAACCCGCTCAAAGCTCTCTTCTTTTTTGCTGGACGGAGACTTTAATTTAAGATTATTTCATGACTATTAGTGACTATTCAGCCTATTTCTGGCGAAGTAGTTAAGGCAAGGATGCATTTTCCTCGATATTGGATTCTTCTTTCTTGCCTCCATTGAATAGTCTGTGCTTCATTCTTGCTGTAGTTGATCTGCACTCTCTGCCTTTTCCTTTAACTTGCTTTTATTTACAACTGGCATGATCTAGTCGTAACACACATAGAACGTTAGATGCCAAGAACCACCAAAACTCATGCATATGGGTAGTGACTCCAATGTCACTCTCGGTATGGCACTGGTTGAACGATAGCAATTTGAATGATTCACATCATGCCCTCTTTGTACGATTCATACGTGGGACTAAAGCCTTCATCTTTTGTTATGTCCAGGAAGAAGATGTCGATGTAGTGGTGCACCATGTGCTTGGTACAATTGAGTCATCGTTGAGAAGGTAGTCTACCATGAATCTCAGGATACCCGTAGATTGATTCGGTAAACTTCTGTTGGTCATGCATGTTACCCGTTCTCGGACCTGTCCTTGCAGGGATGACCGAAGGAAGCTGAAGGCACCTGAAGAGATTCAAAGGGAGTTCAAAATGCTCTCATGTGATGCCGCGAGGCCCTTCCTAACGGGACGAACAGCCAGATTCGCGGATGAAGCGGAACTATTTCTCGCATCGGGCTTGAACCTGGAAGCCTATGATGACGTTTGTATGCGACGCCTTGGTTGGAAGAAACCCGGAACCGAATCTCTCGAGGAACCAACTAACAATAACGCAGCCATTCTGCAGTCATTGTTCATTTTTTACGAGCACTCGGATGGAACTGAGTGAATCTTCGCTTTGCCTGGGCCAAGTTACTCATCTGCACTGCTGCATTTTAGGTTGGCTGTTCCCATGATAGCAATGGGTATGTCAGGATCCTAAGGCTAAGAGTGCTTGATTCCACCTTTTCTTTTGTCTATATCTTCTATTGAGATGATATTAAGGAGCAAACGTAAGTATAAGTTCTGGATCGGTCCTCAGAGTATGCACAAATGTTCTTCCCACTCTTGTTATTAGAAAAATTGTCCAAAAAATTTGATCAATTCATTCTTAATTCTTCTTAATTCTTTCAATTGTATTAATTAAATCCTAAATGTGCCAATTTAGAATAAATTAATCACCGTACAATAGGTTTTTGGATAATTATCTCATCTGTTATTTTTGGCTCAAGCATAGATAGAGTAAATGATTTCGAGCCACTGAAATTGCTACTTGAGGTTGGCGACCACGTCATCCAGTCTTTTGAACAGAAAACGGGAGAATCTGTCATATTGTTCGTATCTTAACATCCTCATGAAAGATTAATGACATTTTATATCAGTCTTCCACCTCGCTTTTTGCCTTTCGCTCTGGCAAAAGACCATGCCGCAAGACAAGTGAAACCTCAGAGAATTGGCGCAACAAAGTACTAGATAACATCTTGTTTGTCCCCATTGCAAAAAGGTTCGCATTTCCACAGAACGGACTCCAAGTTCCATGTGACATCCCTAGAGACTACACCATCCCCATCATATCCCCCTCCATGAAACCAGAGTATTATTTGTACACAAAACAGACAGACCCACAAAGCAAAAGAAGTGCAAAATATATATAACCCTGCCATTGCCAATCCTCATGCATTCACGACTGTTCCACCTGCAAGAGGCCAAAAACGCAACACAGTACACAATCATCCTTGAATCTTCTGTTCTCACTTGAAATGGAGAAAGACAGCGATATAGCATATACAGAACTGAGGCTAAGCACTCACCATTAGGGTGGAGGACTTGGCCAGTGATGTAGGATGAGCATTGGTTGCACGCGAGGAACACGAACGAGGGCGCTACTTCTATGGGCTGACCAGCCCTCTTCATGGGCACTTGCTTCCCGAAGTTCTTGGTCTCCTCCTCGGTGAAGGATGCCGGGATCAGCGGAGTCCAAATTGGGCCTGGCGCGACCCCATTGACCCTTATGCCTTTGCTCACGAGTTGGAGTGCAAGGCCCCTCGTGAAAGCCACGATCGCGCCTTTGGTGGATGTGTAGTCGAGGAGCTTGGCATTGCCCTTGTAGGCGTTCACCGACGTGGTGTTGATGATCGAGCTGCCTTCCTTCATGTGCTTCAGCGCATGCCTGCGCAGACAATGCCATATATGCCAAGAGTGATCTACAAACTGATAATTACTAAACTGATAATTACTAGATTGATGTCGACACCTAATAACAGTTAAACCACTCACTATATTCATAAGTTGTGTTCCTGAGATGATTATGCTCTCATTGCCTTTACTGATGATGATAAAGTAATGGAATCCTTACCTAACCATGAAAAAGTGAGAGAAGATGTTAGTCCTGAAGACCCTCTCAAGCCTCGCCTCGTCGATCTCCTCGACCGAGCTGCATTCGTACTGCTCAGCCGCATTGTTCACCAGGATGTCGATCCGGCCGTAGGCATTCACGACTTCATCGACCACCCTCCTGCAGTTCTCGTCATACCCGAGATCGGCCGCCACGGCCATCGGGTCCTTGGCATCGGGGGTCTTCGCCTGCTTCAGCATCTGGATGGTGTCCTGCGCGTCCTTGTCCTCCCGCCCCTTCACGTAGATGAATGCGACCGTGGCGCCTTCCTGCGCGAAGCAGTGGCACACGGCTCTCCCGATCCCGGAGTCGCCTCCGGTCACGAGCGCCACCCTCCCCTGAAGGAAAGTGGGAAATGGCACCGTAAACAATCAATAATATGGCGATTCAGAGTGCGCAAATTTCTCTAACGATGGATCCCTACAATGATCTTTGATCTAAGATAGAGCCGAGTCTCGACGATAATATATATCTGGCGATCTCGCGACAGAGATGCTTTAGGCAATGGTTACTATATGTCTGTGGGTACCTGGAGCTTGTTGGAAGGCTTGTAGTCAGGGCTGCTGAACTGAGGAATGGGATCCATGGCGTGCTCCTTCCCGGGCTGCCTCTCCTGCCTCTGCGGCGGAAACCGGTCTCCATCCGAAGCCATCGATCTCCACGGAACCTGGCGGCTCGCCGGAAACAGCGCTGTCGGGAGCTTAGTGCTTTGGCGGTGACGGTGGCGACGGCAGCAGAGCTTAGTCGCGGACGACGGTCTGCATGAGAAAAGAGGAGTAGGAGTGCAAGCGAGAGAGCATTCGTTGCGAGTTTAAAGGGGGAGATGGACGAGACTGAATCGGCGAGGCCTTTGTTATTCTTCGGTTCGGATCGCTGCCACGTCACGCTGAGCGGCAGCGGGAGAGGGGCCACGTGGAGGATTGCTCGCATTTGGTGGACACGTACGTAGAATCGGACGTCGGAAGGAGAGAAAATAGTTTTGACGCTAGAAAAATTAGAGCACAAAACATAAATGTCATCACATTTATGTTGATTTTCTCAACGAGAGATTAGTCGGGTTTTTCGTCCGGATCTCGGTATCACTAATATGTAAAAACTTTCGGTGAGTATTATCTTTCTCTGAAAAAGATAAATATAATGGAGAATTGAGGATGTGAGGTATGCGGGTACCGACATATTAAAATAAAAAAAGTATCTATGGAGTCTGTCCACAGGATGGGGATAGAGCCCCTCATAAGAGGCTCCCTTCTCTTAATGAGATTACCTCTTAACCGAACACCAAAAATTCAAGAAAAACCTTGATTTATCTCGATTTTCTCAACTAGAGATTAGTAATAAACTTCTCTAAGAAACAGGATTTTTATGAGTAGCACGACTCGATTGTCTCGTTTGTTCGCGAGTGCTGATGTGATTTAAGATGCTATCATCATCATATAAATTTTTAACATATACTCTTACATATATCAAATCTCATTCTGTATTCTTAAATCGATATCACTGTATAGATTAGTAGCCATAAATATACAACGTGCGTAGTGCATGAATGAGGACTTGTTACTATTAAGTAGAGGTGTCAAAATTGATTGAAAACCCATTTATTAACCCATTTATGATGGGTTGGGTCATATATGAATTAGTTAAATTTTGCTATATAGGTTGATATGGATTTTTTTTTTTGGACATAAGGTTGATATGGATTTTTTTTTTTGGACATAAGGTTGATATGGATTCAAAGTCCAATAAATAAAGGATTTTAATGGGTCTAAGGGTGCGTTTGGTTTGGCTTTGGAGGAATGTTTTTGAGAAAATGCAAAAATCTTTGCACTAAAAGGGTTTTCCGAAATGCAAGTTATATATTGGGAAAGTGTATTTTAAAAATACATTGGGATGCAACTTTGACTTATATGTCATTTGGTAAAAGATACATTTTGTAAAGTGTTTTTGCTATTTTTTTTATAAAAAAACTCTCAAACGGCCCAACTCAATCGCTGGCGAGCCTAAGGCAACCAAATCTAGTTGCCGGGCAGCCTCACTTGAGGTCGCGCACCCTTAAGTTCGCTTAGGCTGCGCAACCCAGGCGACACCTAAGGTTGCCCTACCTTAGGTGGCATCACTTGGGTTCCCACGACCTCAGGCGACATCACTTGGGTCACGCAAGCCAAGGCGGCGGTCGCCAGCTTCCGTCCAACTCCTCTTTGCAAACCATGGGGAAGATGACCAGTGTCGATAAACAATGCCAAGACTTGCATTCCGATAATGTTACTTTCCATAGTACCTCTGGATTTGCTTTGGATTAAAGGCCTTTAGAAATGTAATTGCATTTCCCTAAAATATTCCAAAAAATTAACCAAACGCCATTTATATTTGCCCAAAAGATTTTAGAGCCCCAAATGCTAAACCAAACGGAGCCTAAATCTCAAGCCACATCCTATCCCTCTTCACTTGCCTTCGGGTTCAAGTTGGTGGTTTCCGGGTAGAGCAACTTATTTTTTAGTTTTATTTTCTACTTATGATCTTCCTTTTTTTCAAAATTGAAAAATGTTTAAAGATTTATGAACTTTCAAGCTTTAGAAAATCATGAAAATTAGTATATGATTTTACTTGTCAATATTTATTGACTTCTTGATTTTAAGAGATGTCGAATACTTCATTGTGAAACTCGAGGGGAAAATCTTATTTGAAACCTTCTAAAACCACTAAAAAGAAATTTATTGTTTACACACTACACGCATAGTATAAAAGTTCTTGTTTTTAAATATCTATGTGTTTTAGTGATCTAAGTCAGGTCGGGTATAGATTGGGTACGGATTGGGTCGGGTATAAATCATTGAATTTGTATTGCATATAAATGGGTTAAAATGGATTGATGATTCAACCCAAACCTAACCACTCATTTGACAATCTTTGGTATCTTCCTCTACTGTTCGATCTTATTTTTTTTGACTTATTAACAGGATAAAAATTTAAAAAAAGCGTCAAAGAAAATAAAAATCTCCACTACTTTATTGTATGGTAAATATCTTCTAATCCCTCCCTTTTCAATTATCCATGCGTGAGTGGTAGGTTCAAATTCCGATTCATCAATAGGCGGTATTACATCCCGCCATTGCGGGGAGAGATTAGATAAGACTTAAAAGACTATAGCGAGCAATCATCAAGTAATAGGTCTTCTCAAAAAATAAGGGGTACGTTTGGTAAAAATTCTGTTCTCAAAAATAATTTTTGTTCGGAAATAATTTTTTTTTTTCATTCTGGAAAACAATTTATAAGCATTTAAAGGCGTTTGGTAACTGCCCAAAATTTCTATTCCCGAAATAGAAAAAGAACATAAATGTGTATGATAACTGCACAAATTTTCTTTTTATTAATAATATTTTAAATTTTTTAATAGTTTTTTTCTTTTCTTTTTTTCTTCTTCTCCTTCCTTGGCTCATGGCCAGGTCGCCGTCACCGGCGCCAGCGAGGGTTGGACCCTCACAGCCTGGGCGAGGGTTGGACCCTCGCCGGATCTGGTGAGGGTCCAGCCCTCGCTGGCCTTGGCATGTGGCCGGCAACCGGCCACATGCCAAGAAAGAAGAAGAAGATGGTAAAAAAAAAATCTTTTTCATTTTTGATTCTTGTTCCCAGAATCAAGAATTCCAAAACTAATTCTGGGAACAAATTTGTGCCCGAGAATAAAAAATTTACCAAACGGATTTTTGTTCTTTTTTTATTTCTGGAAACAAAAGAATAGAATTAAGAACTATTTGGCGGATTACCAAACAGGCCCAAACTCGAAGGCTTTAGCCTCGCATGAACTAACGAACGTAGGACTATTTCCCTTTCAAGGTATATTTGTTTCGGAAAAAATTTTATGGTAAACAAAAATATTTTCCGGAAAATCCCTTTTTCCCGAAGAATCTTTCATCCTTTTTAGGTTAGTGATTTTTTTTCTAACTTCTTTTTCAGTCTGAATTTTTTTTCCAACTTTAAGCGGGCATTTTTCTTTATTCATTAATATTTTTCCGTTGACCGATCATTTTTAACAAATCAAACAAGTGAAAATCCAAAACCTTCTTTTCCACTTAAATACACACATCCTTCTAGATTTTTTTCTATTTTCTTCCCAGTCATTGCTTCAAGGATCAATTTTAGAACTTCGTTGCGTTTCCGACAGTTTCAGCATTCAATAGCACTTTAGTAGCAAATTCCAGGATTCCGGGATTCCTAAATGCACTTAAAAAGAAAAAAGAAACGGATAAAAAAAAACAAAAAAGAAAAGCTTCACAAATGCTCGGCCCCAAGTCCAGGTCAGCACGGGCACAACAAGCACGGCGCACTCGCGAGCCACCATAAACCACGCGCGCCCTCCAAAACCGTAGAGAACACGCCCGTAATCGCTCGCGAGCTTCGAAGCCCACCATCCTCCTCTCCTTCGTCCTTCGGCTCCCTCCATGGCGGCCGGCGTCCATGTCGAGGACGACGACGACGACGAGGGCTTCGGGGACTTCGCCTTCGCCGCCGCCGCCGCCGCCGCCTCCGCCTCCATTTCCAGCAACGGCGGAGCCTCCGCCTCTCGGAACGACGACGACTGGTCCGATTTCGTCGGCTTCGGCCCGATCTCGTCTGCCAAATCCGTCGCCCATCCTTCGAGCGACTCGAGCTCGTCGGCAATACCTGATTTCTTCGCGGATCGCTCGGTAGAACCGCAGGCCGCCGCTCCGGCGCCGAGCGGCGCGAACTCACTGGAAGCCCAGTGGCTGAAGCCTAAGGGAGCTATACCGTTGTCGATATTCGGGGAAGAGGAGGAGGAGGAGGAGGAGGAGGAGCAACCTGCCGCAGTCGATCCTACAGTGGCCGATGCCAGTCCCGCGTTTAAGCTGGCGAATGGTCATTTGGTGAAGACGAGTTCCGATTTGAACGTCGGTGTCGGATTGAACGACTTGATTTCTAATTTGTATGATCGGAGTCCGAAAGTCGGTAATCCAAACGGAACGGATGCGGATCATAACGCGAACTCGGTGGCATACGGTCAGGATCTGAACGGTGAAGCTCATAGTGGGTCGAATCTGAAGTTGAGTTCGACGGGGATAGACTCCTCTGTGCTTAACGGAAATGGCGAGTTGGTTGATGATGAAGAGTGGGAATTTACGTTTGTGGATGCGGAGAGAGTGTCTAGCGACCAGAATATTAAGGTAAAGGCGTGACATATTCGTTTGTTTTGGTTTTGTCATTTTAAGTTTGTAGTTTTGAAGGAGTTCACGAGTCATTAGAAGTCGTAGAATTCGGAAGATCCATTTAAAGTTAAGAAAGAGGAAATGATCGCGAAGTTGTTCGACTGCTCACAGAGAAAATGCAAGTTGTCTCCTTTTGGTTGAGATTGTACATAGGATATTTGTATTAAACGGTTCGGGGGGAACCGACACTGTCCACAACCGGCCTCATGATGTTTGAAATCCTATATTCTGTCTACTTAGATTGAGGAATCATTGCTGGCTGAGGGTGCATTGTTGTGCTTCACAAATTTGGACATGAAGAACGTGTGCACCTTTTGGGGCCATCATTACACTGATGGGTGTGGGTAATTGAAGCTTCGATTGCCAAGGACTATTAATATCTAGAAGATGTTGCATTTTATTATCCGTGCCTGCTTATTGCAATCACTGTACAACCTCCATACATCTTTATTATACACGTCCTCTATGTGCCCTTTTTCCTCTTGTTCTTTCCTTGATAATTCTAGTCTTTGGCAATGCATAATCATATGATCGAAGTAGATTGCATTTTCCTCATTTTCCTCCTTCTGTCTTCCGGATGCAAACACACCCACATCTCTGCCATCTGTTTAACCAGGAAAAGCAGAATAAAGTTGAGATTGATGCAGCTGAGAATGGGAACGTGTCCATTTCGAGCGGCAATGGTTGGAATTTTGATGTGCATGTTTCCACTCCAAACTTCGACATGCTGAAATCAGGCATTAATGGGCTTGTTATTGATTCTGTTAGAAAAGAGGAGGATATAGGTGACGATTTTGGTTGGGAATTCAAAGGTGCAGAAATTGAATCTCAGTTCAATCATGAGAACTGTAAGGTAACTCTATAAGTTCCTGTTATCTCGTGTATTAGTGTATGTGCTATTTATTTTGTTGTTGTCTGCACACCATTCAACTTTGTATGTGTAAAGAAGCAAGTAATCCAGCCAGAATTCCTCTTCACATGGCTGATTTGTATCTTGATACATTATAATTGAGATATTTGCAGAAAAGTCAGAAAGGTCATCTTTTTTCAACCGACTCTCTTAAAATTTGGCATTAGCAGTACGTGTTCTTTTTGTGGATGTAATTTGATTTGGTTCCTATCCAAATAAGCAGATCATGGAGTTTGAGTGATCAATGAACGTCAATCAAGTGGAACTCAATATGGAATTCATGGCTCGATAGTTTTATTTCATTCCTCCCTACATTGTAAACTAAAATCTCTACCAGAGTCGTAAGATTCCGCATCCGCAATTTTTCCATAGAAAAATGATAATATCTACTGAAATCTCGCATTTTCTTTTTCCGAAGGGTAATGGGGCAACATTCGGAAGTTCACCGACGAGTGAAGCCACTTTTGATTTTAGCAACGGTGCACTCGGACAATCCGATTTGTTTGTCTCATCAAAGTGGATTGCTGATGAATTTGTCATGTCAAATTCTGTGTACGACTTGAACCCAAAACCCAAGACCGACCTGAAAGGCACCAATCATGAAGTTAATTTCAATCAAGTTGATGGAGTTGCTGAAACTGAGGAAAATGATTGGGACTTTAGGTGTGCGTCTTCAGAAACTGGTTCAAGTGCTCAGGTACTGAATCACTTATATAAGCCGTATGAATGTGGAATTCGTTAAATTCTTTGGTGGCTTTCTCTATTTATTCCACTCACCACTGCAAAATGTGTGTTTAAAAATCAAATTTATTTATAAATAGGTGAATTTTTGTTAGATTTCGTTGAATCTGAGTCGGATTTGATTACGATTTTATTCAATGTATTATATCATGATTGTCTATGAAAGAAAAACGATCCCATGACAGAATTATTTTCAGAAATCTAGCAGAATGACAATTAACAACTCTAGGGAGTAGAATCAACTTAATCAAACCAAGTGTTTTAACTTTGTCAAGAATGTCTGGAAATCTAAGGATGTGTTCTGAATGAAATCACATTAGCAAGTAAGTTCACATATTGCTCCTTAAGACACTAGGATCTTTTTTTTCTGAAATTTTTATGCCAGGATGATCTGAAGCATGCTGATAACGGTGCAAAGACAAGTACAATGGAGAGGAGTGCTGACTCTGGCCAAAATTTTTGGGAATTTAAAGACGCCTTATCAGAAGCTGCATCAAAGCATGAGGTATAAGTCTTGTTCTGATTTGATCAATCTTTACTAGGTATGCCACCTGCATAAAGTTAGTAGGATAGCAGGGAATGCACAATTTTTCCCATAAAATCAATTGATAAAACCGTGCGGTAGATGAAATTGCCTAGTATAATTTTCATTATTTAGCACTTAATTGTGCATTTTAAGGAACTAAATTAAATTATTGAAGCATGAGCTGTCACCAAATCTATATTATATTTTTACTCCTTTTTTGCATTTCAGAGTATACCCTGTCAATTGTGAGTTATCGGTGACTCAAAGACTCGCGTCTTGAGATATTCGGTTATATTTACTAAAAGCCTATGAGGAGAATAGAGGTCTATGGATTTGCTAACTGCTTTTCCCTATCGTACATTTTTCTTTTGTGGCCCTTATAATCTATGTTGATCTTGTTGTTTCGCCCTACTAAATGCTCAATAGTCTAGGTTCTGCAGTAGATATCATGCTTTAGCTGTTCCTCTTGTTTTCTGTCTGAAATTAGAAGCTACAATATATTATACAGCACAAAGCTAAAAATGGAAATGTGCACGTATAAACGAAATGGCCAGCAATTTCTTGCGAGTTTTTGCTTTGGATGAAAGAATGCACTTCAGTGGAGATTAAATCCTTAATTTTGGTACCAGTTGTCACTGCGAAATATCGTTTTGCAGATTTAAATTTTAGATTCTTTCACATGATACTTCTGTTGGTTGACTTTTCATCATTTGCTTTCTAGAGAAATGAGAAACACCATGGGAATGGGAAAAAGGAAGCCCTGCCACTGTCTCTTTTTGGTGATGAAGATTTGGGAAAAGAAGATACAATAGTGCAAGACGACAGTTTTATCAAAGAACCTGCACCTGATACAAGAGATAGGACTAAACTAACTTCAGGAACATCCATCAATGATCTTATATCAAGTCTGTACAGCGAATCCATGCCGAATACTCCTGCGGCTGACATTAAAATGCTGAGTGAGGGTGCACTGAATACCACCTGGACAAATTCGGAAACAGATTCAGCAATCAAAGAGGACGACTTTGGTGATTGGGATTTTCAGGGTGCTGCCTATACACCAAGAGGAGATGAACCTCAGAGCTTTGGCACAAGTACTCCATGGCTTAGTATTGATGGGTCAAATTCAAGCCACACTGTGCCAGTGTCCAGATTAGGAAATAACCTAAACGTCTTAGAGGATATTTCTTGGGAGCATAGCGATCTCTACCATGGGACCAAATCTACAGAAATCTCTCTAACCAGTCCTGTGGATTCGCTTCAAAGTTTTCGCATTGAATTAGAACTTGATGATCTTGTTCAATTTTATTGCAATTTGAAGGATGAGTTGTGCCTTGTTGCTCGCCAGCATCTTAATCAGGTGAAGATCCTTTCATGCAATGACTTGCTTGTTTTGTTATGAAGTTGTTTAAACCCTGAATGTTGAAAATATGCTATTTGTCAGAAGGTGCATGACCCTGTTGATCTTGCTGGTGAAAATGCAAAGGCAAAAGCTCATGATGAGGAAATTCAGGTTTTGTGTCTACTAAATTGATCATTTAGTTACTTCCTTTACTATTATTTCAATTCTTTTCTCATTTCAACTCGTAAGATTTTTCAGTTCTTTTGTCGTGATTGCTTCAATACATGTGGAGTAAGTTTAGTCCACCTTCTTGTTGTAGGAGCTTCACGATGAGCTGCATTCAAACGACTCGTTCTTACAACTGCCCTCAAATAATCTATCTGAGAGAGATATCAGCATCAGTACATTTCTTGAAGTCTTATCTGGAGAAAAGTTCCACGTGATTGAGGCAGAGTATAGCTTGTCGAGTAGATTGTCATCGGTAAGAATTTCTCGTCTGTGCTTGATGGAAGATCACATGCGTTGGCAAATTGTAATCAAGTTGAAGCAGAATATTTTTGCAACTGAGATACTTGTAGGATAGTGATTATTGCACACTCTAATAATCTATCTTTTCTTTGGGTCAGTCCTGCCTGAACATTTTGTTGCCTTGCAAGTAATGCGAGATAGACTCCCTGGTATGAGATTTGCGTACCAGGCTGCTAATGCAATTGTTCTGTGAATGTAGTGGTTAATAAGGATAAACTTCTCCCTTTTCTCTTTGCTTATTTGTCTGTCTGAGCAGTTCACTTAATTTTAAAGTTAAAAATCAGTCTATATTAAGTTGGTTCTGAGCTGAAAAGTCGACATCCGACTGGGTCATTGTTTGGCTCTTGAACTTAACAGCAGCAGTACCTCTGTTTCTACAGGTAGAGAGAGATTCAAAGTCACTGGTTGAACTCTTGAGACACGTAGCCTTGGTACTTAAAATCTTAAAATTAGGATCAGCTGAGGAGCAATTGAAATATGTTTCCACATGGTCTAAAATGATCTCTGCTTGTGCTCGAGAGCTAAAGCATGGAGCCTCAATATGGAAGCAAGCTCTGGAGAAGAATGTTTCCAGTCAAATATTATCTGAAAAAGAAGGTATATTTATAGCTACCAAGAACGATAAAGATAGTGATGATTAGAGTTTCTTTGGACCTCAAATTTGATGTGCTGTTGTTTTCACTTCATTTAGGCAAGCAGTATATACTTGCGCTTGGAGAAGTTTACAGAGCAGTCGGAGTTCTTGGGGCCTCAGTCATGTTGTACAAACCATGGATTCTTCTTAATTATGGAGATTTCTCTGGCATATCTGCTCTTTTAGATGAATGTGCTTCTTCATGGTCCAATTCAGGCCTTGAAGAAGCTCTTCAAAGCATATCCAATCCTCTGGAGTTCCAATATGAGGAGACCGTCGAGGCTTTAGTGGAGTCCATCAAGCATGTTTACAGTCTCAATGCAGGTGTACTCCAGAAGGCTGTTTTTTCTTGTGAAGAACCTGTTTGCCATTTGTCTCTGTTGAATCCAGGAACGGTGCCAGGTATGTATATACTACACGTCAATCTATTCTTTATCCCTCAGGGGGTTTGGTCCGCTACAAGATCACTGTTATCACTGCGTTCTGCCACTTTAGTCCTACAAGTACTCGATCTGCTAAGATTATCTATTGCATCTTAATGCTGTTTTAAAAGTAAAAGTTCTCGAATGGGAATCTCAAGCATTTTCCCTAGTCTTAGGTTGTATCTTTTTCATTTTCTTTTCCTTTGGCTGGCTAAATACGTTGAATCTTCTGCTTGGAACCCTCATTTTGATTCGAAAATGCAACTTGCTGTTGTTGAGCCAGGTATGAAAATGATTGTCTGGGACGAGGAGCAGTATTTTCTCAAACTCGCTAATCTATGGGCAAATTTGATCAGCCGTCATCCTCCAGAATTGCCGTGCATCAAGATTTGTGGCTCTTGACGCGATGTTTACTGGTCAGCCAGTTACCCCCAAATAAGGCATCGATGGCAAAAACCATAGATGCTCCGATAAAGTATGCACAATACGCCGTCTTAGTGTGGCCGAAATTCATTTCCATTCTTTCTCTCTTAGGCCCGTGATTAGGGTGGAGGAGAGTCTTCGCCAACGTAATTCTTTTTGGTCAGAAAGTGTAGTAGCATAGTCGGCTTGAACATAGGGATAAGCGTTGCCACATTCCCTGTATAACAATAAAAGTTATTTCGAGTGAAAATGAGATGGGGATTGCACTATTCTCAGTGCATTGTGTATTTCCCATATGATTTGGAGACATTTGATGATCATGATCTCCAAACATCTGTCTAGTTCTTTATAATTAGGGTCCGTTTGTTTTGCAAAGAACTCACGTTTGGAATTCGCTATCAAAAATGTATGGGCGAAAAATATTTTTGTTGTCAACGAAAATGTTTAGACATAAATTGTTGTCGATAATGAAAATATTTTCTATTGGCTAATAATTATAAGCGATATGATCAATCATTTTTAGAAAAATATTTTTTAATTTGTTTATTTTTCGTGAAATAAACTGAGTCTTGCTCTCCACCCTTTGGTGTCACGACATCCTAAGATTTATAGGCAGAGAAAGGGATTCCAAAGAACCTAATCCAGAAAGTGAAGAACCTCAGTAAAGGACGGCATCCTCTTTTCTTGGAGAATAAGGTGGTTACACAAAATAATTGAAGTACTGATCAAATTAAGGGAAGTTAATTACCATTCGCGGAGTCTTCATTTACCATATCTGCACTTACTCATTGGAGCATATATGAGGAAAACACAATCAATTAGAATCGATTCCATTGATTTTGGCTTAACAAACAATTGTAATGAGATGGATGTGAAAGAGAGAGAGAGAGAGAAGGGCAATTGACTTGCCAAGTGCCAACTACATTAAAGGGTTAATACCACCAAAAACCCTAAACTGGTATATGTGTGACAATTTTACTCCAAACTTTTTTTTTGACCACCAAAAACCCCAAACTGGTACACATGTGACAATTTTACCCCGAACATACTCCAAAAAACCCCAAACTGGTACATTTGTGACAATTTTACCCTGAACATACCACAAAAAATCCCAAACTGTTACACATGTGACAATTTTACCATGAACTAAAATTTTAATATTATTTTTTTATTTTTTCGAATTTTTATTAATTTTTTTGTTTTTTGTTTTTTTTTTTTCTTCATCTTCAACCTCTGGCCGGTTGCCGGCGAGGTCGGCCCCGCCGGCTGCTGGCGAGGGCCGCCCTCGCCGGCGAGGGCCGACCTCGCTTGGGCGAGCGAGGACAGCCCTCGCCAGATCCGGCGAGGGCAGCCCTCGCCTAAGTCGGGCGGGGTCGAGCCTCGCCAGCGGCCGGCGGGCCCGACCTCGCCGGCTTCCGCCTCTGGCCGGTCGCCGGTCCGGCGACCGGCCAGAGGTTGAAGATGAAGAAAAATAAAATAAAATAAAAAAATTCGAAAAAATAAAAAATAATATTAAAAATTTATCAGTTCGGGGTAAAATTGTCACATGTGTACCAATTTGAGGTTTTTCGTGGTCAAAAAAATAGTTTAGGGTAAATTTGTCACGGGTTGACCAGTTTTGAGTAAAATTGTCATAGGTGTACTAGTTTTGGGTTTTTGATGGTAAAAAAAAAGTTTGGGATAAAATTGTCACAGGTGTACCAATTTGGGGTTTTTTGTGGTATTAACCCTACATTAAATGAACCAAATGGTGAGCGAGGACATTGCAGCATAGAATCACTTTTGCATGCCATGTATTGAAAAATTATAGAAATCAGAGTTAAAAAAAAAAGTGGATTCTATACAGTGTGAAATGGCTTGTGGGAACGGCAGATTAGATAGATGGTTATAAATCTCTCTAGCCAAAAATAAATCATCGTAAGAATAGTATAATCCCATTCCAGCTTCGGATGGACCCGCCGCCAAACGCGTTTCCAAGCACAAAATCTTATTCCCGCATTCCTTTTCTCTCTCTCTCGCTCGCTCGCTCGCTCGCGTCATCACGGCTGCGCTAAAGCCGTGAGCGTAACCTCCACGTACGTAGGGTTTTAGACGACGACGACTCTGGTTTCCGCTACAGCCCATAAGCGCTCTCTGCTTCTTCGGATTCGCCTTCGCCTTCGCCTTCTTCATCCCTAGTAGAGCGAGCGAGAGAAAGAGAGGGGGTGGGGGAAAATGCTGGACATCAATCTGTTCAGGGAAGAGAAGGGGAACAACCCCGAGATCATCCGCGAGTCCCAGCGCCGCCGCTTCGCCAGCGTCGATCTCGTCGACGAGATCGTCCACCTCGACAAGGAGTGGCGCCAGCGTAATTCCCCATTCTCCTACACCCCCAACCCCACCACCTGCGCCTCTCGATTTCGATGGCGCGCGCGCCGTGATTCGCCCGGTTTCTTTTTCCGCCTTCTCTCTTCTCACTTCCTTGCGATTTGTGATTTCAGGTCAGTTTGAGCTCGAGAATCTGCGCAAGGACTTCAACAAGATCAACAAGCGTGTGGCACAGCTCAAAATCGTGAGTTTCTTATGCCCTTGAGGTTTGGACATTGGACCTTGTCAGTGCCGCGGAACCCAAATAAGGAATGATTCTTGGCAAAAAAAAAAACGAGTCTTTGTCCATTTTGACTGCTCCCATACTCGTGGGTATTACGATAGATCTGTAAAGTTCCAGTCTTTTTTGTGGAAGCAATCGCGCTCGCAGTTTACTCAATTACCCATTTGCGACGGTCTTTTAAGGGCGAAAATTAATGACTATTTTGATACTGGGCTTAGTTTGGTTAAGGTAAAATCTGCATCGCCTGTGTATAGATTGTGGAAAGTTTTCTCTATTAAACTCGATTAGTAATGGCGCCGTGCTGCCATTTTTAGTCCGGTGAGGATGCGTCGGAGATGATAGCGAATACCAATGAGAATAAGAAGTTGACTGCCGAGAAAGAAGTTGAAGTCCGTCAAGCCTGGGTGGCCTTAAAATCGAGGCTCGAAGTAGTTGGGAACCTTGTGCATGACTCCGTACCTGTTAGCAACGATGAGGTAATTGGCCTGTTTAGTTGAAAATGATGTGATGCTTTGTGCGAATTTGGAGTGATTAATGCTTCCAACATTTATAGGCAAATAATGCAGTTGTTAGGACATGGGGAACAAAAAGGCTGGAGCCCAAGCTAAAGAACCATGTTGAGCTTGTGGATCTTCTCGAAATTGCGGACTTGAAAAAAGGTATCAGAAGCACCCTTAGGGTTGGGTACTGCAATTGGAAATTATACTTGTGCTTGAAAGTCACATGCTCTAAGGTTCTATTAGCTTTCTAATTATTTATCACTTGTTAATGCTACTCCAAAAGTTATTCTCGCGAATATTCCGTGTCGTTAATTTCGGTATGCTTGGATTATATAGGTGCTGACGTGGCTGGGGGTAGAGGGTTCTACTTAAAGGGGGACGGTGTACGTCTTAATCAAGCTCTGATTTGTTTTGGACTGGATTTCTTGGAGAAAAGGGGCTACACGCCCCTACAAACACCTTTCTTCATGAAACAAGATATCATGGCAAAATGTGCTCAATTGGCACAATTTGATGAGGAACTCTACAAGGTAACAGATGAACGATACTGTGACAATTTCTTCCCTCTTTCTGCTGCGATGCAAGATTTGAGGAGTTATCGTTTCTAAAGCTTCAATGGAACTATAACTTGTACCGATTCGATAAACATATCTGTCAGGACTGATTAGTGATGTCCAATTAGGTAACCGGAGAGGGAGATGACAAATATCTCATTGCTACTGCCGAGCAGCCACTCTGTGCTTATCATCTTGAAGATTGGATCCATCCGTCCCAGCTACCAATAAGGTCCGGTCGTGATGTTGATTATTAGTTGTTGTTATGTGCGGACATCGTTCTGATCCGATTTGGTTGTATTGGAATTTTGACCAGGTATGCTGGATATTCATCTTGCTTCCGCAAAGAGGCTGGTTCCCACGGTCGTGATACTTTAGGAATTTTCAGAGTTCATCAATTTGAGAAAGTAGAGCAATTTTGCATCACCAGTCCAATTGGCAATGAGTCTTGGGAAATGCACGAGGAAATGATAAAAAATTCTGAGGAGTTTTACCAGGCGGTATTACTTTTCACCTTATGAACCCCCAAATTTATTTGATGTTGCTGCACTATGTTTAACATTGAAAGAGTGCTGACCTCATGAATAAGTTGTGTTCTTGTATGTCAGATTCACTTTCTGGTGTCACTTTGTTATTGCAGCTTAAGATCCCATATCAAGTCGTGGCAATTGTTTCTGGTGCTCTGAATGATGCAGCTGCGAAGAAGTATGATCTCGAGGGCTGGTTTCCTGCATCCCAGACTTACAGAGAGCTTGTGTCCTGTTCAAATTGTACTGATTATCAGTCAAGGAGACTGGAAATACGATATGGTCAGAAGAAGGTAACTCTTGTATGCTAGTACTCAAAAATTTTATGATGCATAAAAATTATTATTTGTGACAACTAGCTAGGAAGGTTTCACCTGGTTAGGCCAATAGTTGATGAACCTATGCTTTTCTGCCTGAATATGATGATTTTAAAGGGGGAGGATATTTGAGGAGTATCACGTATGTCCTTTCAATTTCTCTGTCCGAGTCTATTCATGTTATATTGTGCACAAATTCTAGTCTGATGGATCTACTAGCGATTTCTGGTTAATGGTTTTAGCTGATGGGAAGCAAGTGATTGTTCTGCTAGTAAATTAGTAATGTCAATAGTCTGTACTTTATTTTGATAACATCCTGTTAAGCATAAAAAAGCCACCTCATTGCATGCAATTTCTGCCTCTCTGATTTTTTCTTCCCTTTTCCTTTTGCAATCTGTCAGAGCAATGAACAAGTGAAGCAATATGTTCACTTACTAAATTCTACCCTGACTGCCACTGAGAGGACAATTTGCAGCATACTTGAGAACTACCAGAAAGAAGATGGAGTTGAGGTTCCAGAAGTTTTAAGAGGATACATGGGTGGGAAGACATTCTTGCCTTTCAAGGCCAAACCCGCAACAGAAACTAAAGGGAAGAAGACTAAAGCATAGCTTTCATATTTGGGAAAATGTTGACAAGAATTTTAAGAGCCAGATTTAGTTGGAATTCATGACTGAAAGATTATGTGGCCCCAGTTCCTGGGGATCACCAAGGAAGCTGAACCTAGAAATTAAAACGTGCTTAAATCTTCCAATTTTCTTGTTGACTGTCCATAAACTAGATAGCTTCAGTTCTGGGTAGTAGTATCGCTAAATTTGATCTTCATTATATGCCGGATGTAGAGTCTGGTTTGTCTTTGATGGATGTGAATGTTCTCTCATGTGATTGGTCATATGGTTAATGTCTGAGCGGAAATGCTTCATGTTGGTTAGGCTATAGTGCCTTGTCTTGGCTTTAGTACGCATGCACAATCATTTTGTGGCGCTTCTTTTGACATATTCGGTGTGGTGCCTTATTAGGCTCGTGCGTGCCTTAAAGTTCCTGCACGGCCCATATCAGTTCTTGTTCCAAACCAGCAATAACTATACTGAATACTGATGTCGAGCCTGTTTAGAGAGTGTGATCCGACCACTTTTAAGAACTCAAGATTCGAAGAATAAGTGCCTTCTTGGCTACTTTATTGAGTTGATTTTCAATGTTATAGAAAGGGTTCGCTCTGGATAGGAACCGGAGTAATCTGCTTTGTTCGAGAATCGAGCGTTCGGACTTGAGCAAACTCAACTATAAATGCATGAACGTTCTTGGGCTTGCTTTGGCGACTTCTGTAGCGTTTGGAGAAGTGTTAAATTATGATGCCTTGCATAGTGATGATGGGACTAAGCTGCTGAGCGTTTGGTTCGTGGCAGCATAAAATCGTCACGGCTTAAATTTTCTTTGAGGATATGTGTACTGAAAGTCTTAAAATTTATCATCAAAGTGCAATTGAAGTATCAAATTTACAGAAAATACAATCGAGTCCTACAACTTGTCAAATTGGTACAATCGAATCTTTCCGTGCTGACTTAGTTTTTTTAAACATTCTCTCTTCTATGTAGCAATAACGTGACTAAAACATGCAACACGATAATGGCCAGGGCCAGCTACCCTGTAGGACTTTGAGTGCACATTTCCCCTTTTTTTTGGGTCGGTCTTGGCTTAAATTTGAAGATGAACCTCTTGCAGTGTGCCAAAGAGGCTCGAGGGAATTGCCAACGAAATATTAATGACTAGATAAAACCAGAAGATACCGTGGTAATCTAAAAGTTCTTCGTACAAACTCAAGCCAGTTTGATTAATTTGCCATTTTCTGGTTTTACTTACTGTCTTGGATCCATCCAAGAGTAAACAGCAAAAGCGGCCAAAGTAGAATTGTTTCATGTTTTGAAGCGAAAGAAGGTGCTTCTATATTTAATTGTAGAACGGCTCAGCTTGACTCCCTACATGGGCAATTTGATAGCGCTTATTAGCAAATCATGTTTGATTTTCCACCTCTTAATACTTATTTGTTGAACCTGCTATAGTTAATTAACAGATGGTATAAAAAAAAGAGAGATGAAACATATGGGCGTGGCAATATCTTCGCATCTTGATTTATACTATGCAACAAATCTGATATGAACAAGAGAAGTTTTCTTGTGTGAAATTTGGAACCTAAAGTAGCAATCAAATTGCTTATGAAAACCATATGGCCAACCATTCAAGCAAGGCCGAAAAAAGAACAAGAAGCTATTCCAGATGTTGCATCAGGTACCTTGTATCCACCTCTATAAATATAAGGTATAGCTTCATCCGAGATCTCTAAAAGGCATCGTTGACGCCTATCTACTAATTGTGCAGTGGATCAGGTGACGAGGGTACTTTTCGCTTTTCGGCAGCAAGAAATTCATCTCCTACTTGTGTCGTTGCAGTAGTTGTGGTTGTGGTTGTTGTCGTAGTCATCTTCCTTGTATGAACAGTGTCTTTGCCTCTCACGCTCGCCTTGACATGCCGAGCCCCAGAAACCAATTCGGTGCTCAAAGCCGATGTGGTTAAGAAAATCAACAATAGGCAGCACACTTGGAACTTGGAATCGTCAGGCATGGTGATTCTGAATATGCTCTGTGTTTATGCCTCAAAAGCCAAATGAGAAGAGTGTCAGGCTAATGACAACCTTTGATTACAAGGCCTAGGGTCCTATATAGTTTGTGAAAGCAAGAAGTTTTTCAAGGGAGGATAAGCAAGAATAGTCACCTACTTCTGTAGCATTGTCTGGTGGAACGAAATTTCTTAGTACAATAATGACACCCATTGCTGCTTCATTGGTTGACAATTCAATTCACAATTGCTTGGTTTTTTCCCCTCAATTTACTCATTATGTCTGATAATGTTCCATGAACAGACAAATATGCCTATGCTGTCTAGGACTTAGAGAGAGTCAATGAATACCAAACAAGTCCAGCCAGAAAGTGGTCAATCTATGTGCATGATAATCTAAAAAGTTAAACCAAACACTACCTAAACAAATTGGTCATAGAAGGGACCTCAATTTCAGGCCCTGGTTTTGACTCTCTCCCCATTCTCTCCAATCCCTCCTCTGGCTAAAAAGTTTAACATGCTGTAAGTCCGGTAAGTGCAGACTCTAAGGGCTACATGTCCTTTTCTCTCCATCAGTTTATCATCAACTCTCGACTGTGACGAGGAAAAGGAGAAAGTGTTTGGTGGTTGTTTAGTACCGCCCTCCCATGGTTCACAGACCACAGCATTTTCATCGCAAGAAGGAAGTAAAACGCTTCATCAGGGGCTTCTTCCATATCACATGTAATGTCTTCGTTGGTTTTAGGTTCGTCGACATCAGTGGCTCTTTGGTGCTGCCGAAAAGTTCCCTGTTACCATGCTTAATGAGTTACTGAAACAAGCCCCCGATACCTTCAAGGACTTCAGTTGCTTCAAGAACTCGGAACCATCATAAAAGTCCGGTAGCTTTTCAGTTTGCACTAACCTGATGGATTGAAAAAAAGGGTGCGTATGCTCGCGCGAAAAAGTCGCATTACTAAACCAAACCAGCTTCCTAGTATGAGAAAATTTTTAAAAAGGGGGATAAAAGAAAGAACGGACCGAAGATCAAAAGTCTATTGTCAGTTTGAAGAGTGTGCAAATGGTGAAGTAACTTTCAAAGACAGCATGCTATGATTATCCAGTGGACAGCATTTCAATAAACGCAATCATTAGAGTAATAGAAAAAGCCACATAAACATTTGACCTTTCGAATTCTAATTCTCATAACAAGAGGATAGCACTACTTGAAGCAGAATTCGTCTCAAGATCTCACCGTTTGGAGCACGCAGAATATTGCAAGATCAATCTCGCCAACAGTTTCTCATATTGTTTGCTTGAAACATATACCAAGTCATCGATGGGACGAGTGCAAATTTTGTACTTTCACCCACCACCATTAGCACGTAAAACCAGAGTTGGGCTTCTTCCAGATGCTGTGCCTATATGGAACATCGACTGCTCAATCGAATACAGGGAATGAACCTACTCAATCTTCAGAAACTCCAGCGAGAGCCGAAAACGAAAAGAGTTATATCTAAAAAATTCCCAAAAGTGAAAGTCCAACAATTAAACATCACGACTCTCTAGAGGTCAAAAACTATTGAATCTCGTCTTACATTACCAAAATCGAGTCAATACAAATGTTGCAAAAACCTCATCGATCCAAACCCCCGTTAGCCCCAGGTCCCCCACACGTCATCTAGATCACCTCTCAACTGGACAATGGTTACAGAAAGAGGCTCACAACCCTATGATGCATAAACAATGAATATGGTGCTGTCACAAATGAACAAATACAGTAGCTTTCATCCATGATGTATAAACCCGCTAGCCGACAGATGTAAAATGTCCCATGGACAGAGATGCATCCCTATGATCTACAGTTTCTTCAAGCTTCCTTGGAGATTCATGCTATACCTTGACAGTGAACAGATAAACCCTCAGGACAACGGCAAGAGCCAGCTGCAACAGGAAGATTGCGGCCACTATCAAAAACCACCTCTCCCCTGCAGACTTAATGTGCGCTCGGAGGTTAAGAGCCACAAAGGTCGCAGACATGAAACCGGCCACACCAGCCACCACCCATCTGACTATATCCAGAGGCACGACAGAGAGACACTGAATCCAGAAGAGATAATTCAGATTCTAAAAAAATTTGGAAAGAAGCTATAGTACACCATAGATAAAGGGCCCCTGATCATCATCCAAACTTTGAATTCTCGGCATCATTATATTCACTTCTACGTATGAATAGCAAAACATGGCAGTTGACTTTACTATCGCTGAAAATGCATTTTTGAAAGCTATGAAGACATGACAATGAAATCGAAAGACGAATTGATATCAAAACTGACTCTACAAGTGACTTCTCCCTTCTCCTACATACTGAAATCCTTTTCTTTAAATCAATTAAAAAAGTCAAAGAAATGATTGGGTGGGATTGATACCTAACAAAGAACAAGAGCTCATGGTTGCTGCCATAGTAATCTCAAAAGAATATTAATGCAAAAGCAGGTGGTACACCGTCCTCAAAGTAAAACCGGTGTGAAATGTCTTAATTGGAATTGTGTGAACATGAGAAGAATAAATCACCCGTAATGTCCTTGTATTTTCCGTATATAACCACGACAAGTTTTTGCTGTTTATTTCAAGTATATAAGACCACCCGTGCTCTATCTCAAATAAGACCAATAAACTTACCAATGCTGGAATGAAGACAAAAAGGGAGTATCCATAAAGGCAAAGCAGCTGAACAAGGCCAGACGGTGCCGAGAAGTATTTCAAGATGACGTATAATCCAAGAGGTACAACAGTAACATAGCCATAAAATAATCCGGCAGACCATGTTACAAGATTTATGTCATAGTTCCATTGTTCTTTCTTCAGCTTGTGAGCTACATATGTAACAAAAGTACCAATGGAAGCTGCAACAAAAATGAGGGTGGTGCATATCCAGAATGGTCCATACCTGCGCATTCAAATATAATCACCTAAAGAAAGATTGAAAACAAATGGATGACATTAAACAAAACTTTCAGCTTAGAGCCTAGCCTGGAAGTGCAGATGAAATAAAACCTGAGATATAGATCAGTGCGCTAAAAGTAAAGAATAATGCACCTTAAGAAGCTTTTAAGGAATTAATAGAATATAAGAAGTGCTGATGTTTCAATCAACTAGTCCGAAGCTGCTTTAATTTTCCATCAAGATGAAGGCATTCACCTGCTACTACATCATTCACATGCAATGGTAATGAAGTATAAAGCTCATCACGCGCATTTCAGTTTCAAAAAAGCTGATTGGATTGTATTTTAGGGATATTTCAAAAGCATTGCACTATAGCGATAAACCTCCGCAGCAAAATTACGTGGATCAAAGCTAAATACTTAAAGCATTGCCGATGCTAAAATTCACAGTGAATTTTCATGAAATCTAGCACCTTTTAAAAGTATCATTTGATACAAAAGAAAGAATTTACCAATGTGATTCCCTTAGTTGTTACAAAGAGTATAATCATTCCACAGTCGCACGTTTCAGGAATAAATCCACAGCACTAATTAACAACTCCATGAAATTAGTACCACTCAGATATCGCAGGTGGCAATGTTGAGGACAACTTACAGATCTGGGCTGCTGGAGGTTTTCTCATTAAAGTTTCCTCTAAATGGGAATAGCGAATCTTTAATCCTCTCTAGCACATCTGAAGTGTCGACATCAAAATATGGTTTATAAGAGGCAACTGAGAATATACTAAACCAACCACTTGGCTGAGAGTCATCTGATCCGAGTGTAGATTTTGAAAATGTATCTGCATCACAATCAAGATAATGTACATAAATTAGTGAAAGATGTAATTTGCAACAGAACTTCAATCTACTTTAAGATTTAAACCTGACACTAGCATCTTCAGTAATTTTTGGTCCAATTAAATATGAAACGGCAAAAGCGAGAAAAAATGTAATTGCAGGAACACAAGCTGAGATATAAATTTCCAAGCACGTACTGCCTTTTCTCTTCAAACACTCCACAGATCAACAAGATTGTGTCTCATTAAACAGAGTTCGTTCAGATATGAACAAAAGCTAGTCGAATGGAATCTAACATTAAACTTCCCTCATTATGCCTTCCGCAAGGATGGAAGTCGAAAAGGCAGTAGCAAAACGACAGAATTATCCTAAGTCCCAAAAACACACAACATAAAGTCTGATGATGTCTCGCGTACCATCAGCATCTCGAGGAGGACCAGAGCCACCGGATATCTTCCCTTTCGCATCGGATGGAGGGAAAGTCTGGAGATTGGAATCTGAGAAAAAGATCATTTCAATTGAGCTCCAAAGAAAACAAAATGACGTCGATGACAAACATTAGAGACATCAATGAGATAAATCTTGACGAAGGCCGAGTGGGTTTTGAATTCTGAACTTGACAAGCTGAACTGATCCTTTAATCAAACCTATGCAGCAAAATCATCGACTTGAACAACAGAAATATTCTCCCGCAAGAGTTACCCACGTTTTCTCCACCCATAAAAGACAATCTAAATCTCATAAACAGCAAGAACCGCTAAGTACGACGAACACCTCAGGATTAGCGTGGAAGAAGGTAAAACTCTACCGACAACAGACCCAATCTATCCACAATTCATCTTCCTAACCATGCCCGATTCATGGTACAGCAACTCGCGCATGTCAAAAAGCGGACCTCACACCCCTAACTCAGAAGCACGGACAGCCTTCAGCTCAGACAAATCCACACTCAAACCTCGTTTTCGGCAATCAAAAACGCAGAGCAGAAGGCAAAAACTCGAAGAAATTCCTCGAATCACAGCACAAAGACTCCACAATTCCACACCGGTTACCTGCGAATTTGACAGCTACGTGTCCTGGATCTGGGACGGCCTGCAAAAAAAATCGAGCAAACCGAAGCTTAAGATCCGAAGGCACGCACCGATACACAAATCGCCCGCGCACGCGGCACCAAAAAAAAAGATCGAGAATCGAGAGAAGCGACGAAGAGTTTTTTGAGCTCGAGGGAGCGACTCACGGGGACAGATCCCGACACCTTCTGGTTGTCGATGCTCGTGTAATTGCCGGACATCATCTTCCCTCCTCCTCTCCCTCCTTCTGCTGCTCCTCCTCCTCCTCCTCCTCCTTCTTCTTCTTCGTCTTCTTCGCAGATCTCTCTCTCGCCTTGCAGAAATGCCGGGTCCTTGCACAGCGTGGATTTTCGTTTCTTTTTTGTTTTTTTCTTTTGCTTCCCTTTTTTCCGTCGATATTGTTTTTTTTTTTTTGTTTGCCTGTTGTGCTCCCACTTTTTGTTCGTTTCTTGCAGGAGACAGAAGGGAGGTCAACGTTGGGCTGGGCCGATTCCCAGAATCCGAAAACGGTTTAGAAATGGGCCGAGCCCATTCTTGCGTCTCGAGAAAAATATTGCCGGCGGGCCCCCTAAACCACGTCATCGGCCAACATGACGAGCGATATCCGACGAGCGATATCCGACGGCGGTATATCGGCTGTATCGATACCGTGGAGCCAAGTTCAACGCAAATGTCTAGAGATGTGAGAGCGAGTGATTGGCATACATGACGTGTTATATTTTGAACGTTGTGCACCATGTTAGTCGATGATGTGACGTGATAACAATTTAATATCACCATAATTCGCAGCATGAAAAGATTTCAAAACATGTGAGAAATGACCACTCGGTTTTATTTTCAGATGCTTTAGGCTCTTAGAGGCCAAAGTAGTTCGACTATTTCAAGAGAGAGCAGTGAACACGAGCCAAGTAAGGAAGTCGAGGTTGCCTCGCTGCAATTGAGTCGTAACCGACCTAAATTTTCTTTGCATCCCACCATTGAATATACAAAACATCCTGCGTTAGACACATACGGCTTGCTCTCTTGATTACTCCATTCCGACTCTCCCGACTCGAAATAAAAAATGCCGATCGAATATAACCACTCGAAGAATTAGCATGCTGTTAAATGTTAGGTGCAGTGCATCCAACAATCATCGGCAAGTTGCCAGATTCACCAGAAGCCTATCATGCATCACGGATCATCTGCGGGGACCGCTCAGAAACTTCCTGTCAAGTAAATAGCCGAACCTGCTTTCGACACCATCAAGTCGAGATGAACATCTATTTAATTGCCTTTGCTGAGAAAATTCAACATCCAACCCAGTAGATGACCGATCACACTAACAGAAACTTATCATGAACACAAGTATCTAGACAACTTCTACAAGGGCACTTAATTTGTCCCTTCAAGGGACCAAAACCACATTAATAATCATTATGACACCCTCACAAGTCACCAGTTCACACCATCATCATGCCAGCACGCGGCAACGCATATGCTTTATTTGCAGCAAGAACAGGATCAGCAGATTCTTATTCCTTGTGATTTCGGAGTTTCTTCGGATGAAATTACAGTCTGCTTGTATTCTACCCCAGTCCTGAATCAGGCTACTCCCCAAGAAGATGATTCCATAATCGCCTATCACAGTCGTCGACAACTGCAATTCTGAATCTGGCTCTATAGGTTCGCCCTGCCTATAACATTATTTTACATAGGTCCAAGGGCATTCCAAATTATTCCCTCTCAAGCACTTTTTAGTCTGCCCCTCGTTAGCAGCATAGACCTACTCAATGCAAGCATAAGAACCCATGTGGTTGCACTAATCTTTTCCTTAATCATTAAAAGCAAAGCAGAGCTCAACACGGTCTTCAAAATTTGAGCTCGCAATCCCTTGAAAAAGCCCAGGAAGCCTTCTCTGTTCCATATGGCAAACAGAACTCCAAGAATTGTCTTACGAGGTTTCTTCTGAGCTTTTTCTGCTACGTTTTCACTAGAATCGACAGCTTGAATCATGACCTTACACCTTCATGCAACAAAATGTTAATTAGTTCTTAGTTCTGAAACCAAAGCTTGCAGAATAGGTAAAATTATTGGTAAGAGAGACGCACCTTATTGCAGGATAAGTCAAAATAGTGGCAATGCTCTTCGAGAGGGCACCCAACGCAAAAGCTGAGAATGCAGAAAGCGATGCGGGTGACAAATCCTTGTCTGTTTTATTCTGTTTTCCTTTCAAGAGCCTTTGTTTGAGCTGATCAAAGACTGTGTACTGAAGAAAATAAGAGGTCAGTCTCATGAAAATTCTCACTTTAACAGTCCTATGACAGGGACTTAGCAATTCATCACAATGCTTACACCACTCAAAAAGCAAATACCTGAATCGCAGGGTTAGAAGTCAGCAAAAGGGAGATCCCAAGACCATCAAACGCATGGCTCCAATCACCCTCGGTAAGAGTCTGCCAAAGGCCCTTGGATTTCCCAAAGGCACTAGTTTGCATCCTAGCAGAGGCTGTATCCAGAGGCTACACAACAATATACAAAATTCTCTCAAGATCACAAACAAATATCACTTGTTCATGAAAAAAATAAAGGCGAAAAATAAATAAATGATTGAAAGAAAAAATATATATTACTTGCTATTTTGCATATTATTCGTTAATGATTCTATATTTTTTAGATCTCAAACAGGCATAGCACATTCAATGGCACTTATAATGCTCTAAGGTATTGAGTTCTTAACCTAAGATCAGTTTAATTATGTTTTTCAATCTAAATTTCCAGTGGAGACAGTCACACAGCGCATGTACCATGTACTTCTGCCCATGCATGCTTGAATGTATCGTCTGTACGTTTTATATATGTGAAAGGATAAAACTAACAAGGTAAAACTTTTTGAGAGAGGATTCACCTGAGTAATAATAGCAGTGCAAGCACCCGCTGCAGCAGCCAGAACCAAATTAGCTTTTGTTCCAACTGACTTATAACCACTCCTTTCTAGGTATAATCTTTTAAAGTTGCTGTATCCATAGAAGTAAACAAACTGAGCAATGAAAGATTGCAGGTTTTTGGTCCCTAGGCCCTGGTATAGTGAGAGCACCTGGCCGTTAGATATTGCCTCCCAGAGAACATCTGACAGATGCCTGTGCAGACAGAGAAAAACAAAATGGATTAATTACCACAAATATCCTCGGAGCAGATTGCAAAAGCGATGACATAGGCACTCTGATCCAATGAATTCAATCAGAGATTTGCACCCCAAAGAAAAAAGAATGCAAATTGCCACCGGAAACAAAGATTGCAGATAGAGATGGTCTCAACATATCTAGGAAGCTCTGAGGGAACGATGTCTGAATATTGTTTTACACCTCTTGAAATGTACATTTCATGCCGTGTTAGCACTTTGGAAAGAGTTCGACTCAGAATCATAATATTAAAACGACATTGAAGCCCAAAGACTCCAAATAAATAAAAAAGGATTCATATAAGCTGTGAGCACATATTAACTATCACCAAAAAATCGAAAAATATCACCCTCTCAGAAAGAATACAAACTACAAGTAGTTTATGTTCACTTCATTCAACAGCAACATGTATTGACCAAAAAACTATTACTCTGTTAGACAGTATATCAATCGTGAAAGCTACACGAAGATCGACGGAGAAAGAGAAACACGTAAGATGAGATGGCATGGAGAAGTTATAAGCCGGTATCCGAGGGAACCGAAATATGGGCAGAACATATCCGGGATTTGCCGTATTGGCAGCGACGGATGCGACGAATGAAACATGCCTCGCACAAAAGGAAGCCATTGCGGAAGAGTGCCACAGCTAATCTTTCACTTTTCAGGACCATGTTTATGGGGAATGAACCATAACTTCTCCTCTCAGGATTTACATACTTGCCAGGCACAGAAGAGAAGACTCCACGATTGAGTTATAGAACCCTTTTATCAAAGCTAAGCAGCAGTGACAGTGCTAGTAACAGCCACCCAAAGCCAAGATCAAGTCAGTCCAAGCCGCCGAAAAATGGAGACACGACCCTTTTATTTTAAACAGCGAAAAAAAACACGAGAGCTAATCTCGGAATCATCATCAACCCCCACGACAGCACCAGCGAGGAAAATGTTTCGCCGCGCGAAACCGAGAGATCGCTCTCTCCAATCCGCTAGCAACGAACGCTACAAACTAAATCACGCAGAAACGAAAAGCACGATCATCCCACACAACAGACCATCCCACCATCATCCCACTGATCGGAGAGAAACGAATTCGCCGCGGGACCGACGGGATCGCGATCCCGAACGACGGCGAGATCGTTACGGAAGCGAGAGGCGAGAGGATCTCAAGGACCGACCTGTATCTCTGCTGACCGTGGGCCTGGACCTCGGCCTGGTACTTGGTCTTGCAGGTGTCGAGAGGGTACAGGATGGTGGTGCTGAGCAGCGATCCCACCGCCCCGGACGTGGCCTCCGACAGGGATTCCAGATCGACGCCCATGCTGTGCTCTTTCTCGAAGGAAGGAAGGAAGGAGACGACGACAACGACGACGGGATCACCTACTCGCAGCGCGTGCCGCGCATTATATACGGAGGAGGAGGAGGAGGAGGAGGAGAAGTGGGGGAATGCAATTTTGTTAGTAGCTGGGGACGTGCAAAACGACGGAGGACGAGACAGACAGACGCCGAAAACGGAGACGATCACGCGCCCCACGGGATGGCGGTTTTGTCCTTGGGGGAAGTGGGGAACGGTGGGGGTGGGGTGGGGTGGGGTGGGGTGGCGTGGGGGAGGTGGACGGTTTCCGTCCGAATTGACGGCGACGCTGACGGATCGAACCGAACTCGTGGGCGACGACGCGGCCGCAGTTAAGAGTTGCTACGTTGACGTGGTTAGGTGCACGTGGGTCCGGCAGGGGCCGCACGGGGGGATAGTCTAGGTCGAATTGCTCGTGCTCTGCCCGAGCGCGGGTCGAGCCTCGAGGCTCCGTTTAGGAACCACCTTTTTTCGAGAGGGCGATAAAGAAGAATTGGGTGTGTTTTGGATCGTTTGGCTAGGGTGATCGGTTCCTGATTTAGTCCAATCCCATCTAGGAATCGGGAATTGGACCATATTAATCTGGTTTCGAATGGTTCAATGGAACCGGTGGATTTCAATTGAATTGCTAGTCTATATCGCAATTCGATACTGGAATTTCGTCCAAGATTTGCGAAGAAGACCGAGAGATGATAGGGGCCGTGATGGTAGGGGCACGCTCGAAAAAAAGGAGGAGGATTCCATGGATTCTTTTCCATAAATGATAAACTCAAAATTTAAGGAATGTGAGAGTTAATGAGGAAAGTAAAATTGGTGAATCTTTGGAGGAAAAGAAAGAGAGTCAAATAAGGAAAGAAGCAAGAGACCAAAGGGAGCAAGTCGGATGAACCGGCGTAGCGATACGGAAGAAACAAAGATTTGCTTCATCATCTGGAATAAAGCGAAGTGTGAGAGGACACGACTTGAGAGGTGAGAGGGAAAGGAAAGAAGTTCTTTAAGAAATTCAAAAAAATTATAAATAGTTATATCATCGTTTCGATTTTGCTTTCCACCCCGGAACCCGATCGAAAATTACTGGTTCCATTTTCATGGAAACAGAAATCAAACCGACGCCTGCTGGAACTGTCCAGAACTGACCGATTCGATTTAGTCCAGGCGTCCTCCCATTCGGGCATCCTTTATGCTCGCCCCTTCCTTTGGCCGACTTGTAAAAGCTGAAAGCCCAAAGATGGGGGCCTCGCTTTCGGTATTTTCGAAAAGCTCACTCTAAGGTTAGTAAAAAAAAATTATTCCAAAATTACCAACACCAATTTTTTTCAAATTTGCCCTCGTAGACACTCTTCATCTTCTCTACGTGGGAGCTCCATCGAGCACAGGTTCTGTTTTAATCCGGATTGCGATTCAAATCTATTCATCGATTGCTTGATCGAGCACAAGTCGAGCCTTAAGTACCCGAGTCGAGTTGACAGTTGAGCTAGAGTGTTGAATTGCGCCGACTCGATTACGCCTCTCATTAGGGTCCAAAGTCAAATGCAAATGCTAGTTATGATTTTAATGTGATTGCCCGATTACATTACATCGGCCTTGAAACGGAAAATTGTCCAAAAAGTAATAAATCTATTATATTTTTGCCAATTTAATCATAAACCTTTTAATTTTGCTAATTGAGTTATATACTTTTTCATGGTTTGTCAATTGAGTCTATCGGGTCAATTTTGAGTGAAAATTGCCGAGTGGACATCAGTCGTCCTAGGTGGCACAGCCAGTGCTGTCGTGAAAATTTTTTAATAATTTTTTTCGATTTTTTTTTTTTCCCTCTTTTTTTACACCTTTTGCGAGGTCTAGGCAAGTGTGTCGTTAGGCGAGGGCATCGGGCGTCACCTAGATCCAAGCAAGGGCCGTGAGCCGCTTGCCAGTGGCAAGCGAGGTGTCGTAGCTGACGCCCTAGCCAGGTCCAAACGAGGACCGCGACGCTCTCACTAGCCACAAGCAAGGGGGATTTGGGCGAGGGCCCGACGCTTTCACTTGTGGCAAACACATGAAAATGTTTAGACTCAATTGGTAAAATTAAAATATTTATAAATGAATAGGCAACAATGGAATAGTAATAAGATGATTGGTCCTACAGTGATATAACTAGGTGAACTTCTGTAGGATTTTTTTGATAATTTTCCAGCTTTGCAACTAATTTTCCTCCCATATGATTGTCAATATTGGACACGATGCTGTACGTGCAACAAAAATGCAAAGAGAAAGTTGGAATACACCCGACCATATTGCAACGCAACAAAAATCAATTTGCATGTTGCTAGGAATTGATGCACGAAGGCTTCTCTAAACAAACAGAGATTGGCCGAGTGATTAAGAATCAAATTAAAAGGCAACGTGTCTCGCGACGATATCACAGGTAGAGACTTACTCGATGTTTGCAAATAAAATCACTTGAGTGCAATCGTAACGATGATATTAGTAGAATCCTCCCGTTATAAAGGAAATATATGACCGTAGGACACGTGGATATTACCATGCTCGGGGTGGAGTCACGTGTTGCCTTCTCGTGTTTCATGCGTGAGGTGAAACGTATCACGTAGGGATGTTCGGTTATGGAGTAGGCGAGTTCTAGATCGAAAATCTAAAATCTACCCTGTCGGAGTCGGTTTCCGATTTTTAAAATCAAGAATCAAAATCGGCTTGTTCTAGGGTCGATTTGGGAACCGGTTTACTTTCGATGAAAGAAAATGGGGGCTATAGAAAATAAAACGCGCAAACACGAGGTGATGAAATTTACTTCCCCACCTTTTGTATGTCTTTTGTTTTTTTTGTCGAAAACACTTTTTATGTTGGAAATGTAGTAATTGGAGTCAGTTGAAAAACGTCTTTCATTATGTTTTTTTTTACTCACACAAAAAACAGCTTGGGTGGGTAGAAAATTGCTTTTAATTTATTTTTTTTTACCATCGTCCTCTTATCATATGTGATGAAAATTGAAAACACCGGCATAATTGAAAAACTTGAATTCTTTTAATCACACTTCTTGCATTTTCCTCTTGAATTGGAGAGAACAAATGAAGCGGGCCAAATGAATTTTATTTCTTCGTGAACTTCCGTCTATTTCGCCGAAAATACGATATATCCTCGCATTTTATTTTAGTTTTTCCGAATGAGATGTCTTCAAGAGAAGCGACCGTACTTGTTCAGTTGTGTTGGAGTTGGAAACCTGCTTTTTGGCTAGTGGATTGACACCGATTGTCGTCTTGGAATCCGCTTTGGGCCGATAATTGAAGTTACCGGGTCACGTGAGCATCTTACTTCGTTCATGATCAGAACATCAAATTGTCATAATCAGGCTACAGTGTTATCGTATCAGCTTCAGCTATGGCAAAAAAAGGTGTTGCTATCCGCAATGGAGTTTGAGCGAACACTTTAAGGGCCGTTTGGTAACGTGCAAAATAGTGAAAATTTCTGCTCTTTTGTTTCCAGAAATAGTTTGGGAACAGAAACGCGTTTGATAAACTTTTTGTTCCTGGGCACATTTTTACAAAAATTTGTGCCGAGAAACAGTTTTGGAAGAGAAACAAGAAGTAAAAAAAGCTTTCTTGTTTCTAAGACAATTTTGAGAATCAGCTTTTTTCTTCTTTTTCTTTTTTTCTTTTCTTATTTTGTGGTGTTGTTCTTCCCTGGCTGAGCCGGCCGCCAGCGACCGGCCACAGCCCACGGCCGGCGACCGGCCACAGGGCTGGACCCTCGCCGCCTGGGCGAGGCGGCCTCGCCCAGATCGAGCGAGGCCGAGCCTCGCCGTCGGTCGCGACGGCGAGGTCGGCCTCGCCCGAGACGGCGAGGCCGAGCCTCGCCGTCGCGACCAACGGCGAAGCCGACCTCGCCGTGGGTCGCGACGGCGAGGCCGACTCGCCGTTGCGACCGACGGCGAGGCTTGGTCGTCTCTGGGCGAGGTCACCCTCGCCGGCGAGGGCCGTGACGCCCTCGCCGGCCCTGGGCTGTGGCCGGTCGGCGGCGACCGGCCATGGCCAAAGAAGAAAATGGGTAAAAAAAAAAATTTAACAATTCAAAATATTATTAAAATATTATTTGGGAACAGAAATTTTGTGTAGTTACCAAACGCATTTATGTTCTTTTCTACTCTAGAAATAGAAATTTTGGACAGTTTATCAAATGCCTTCAAATACTCAGAAATTGTTTCCAGGCACAGAATAAAAAAAAATCATTTCTGTTCAGAAATAGCTCCCGGGCACAGAATGGTATTCATGCGCACCCTAAACAACCGCGGTATTTTAAAATATACGATAGTTTATAACACAGTTTAAGAAGCCATCTTGCCCAGTTTTAATGCGGTATTTTAAAATTCACGATAATTTATAACACAGTTTAAGAAGTCATCTTGCCCAGTTTTAAAACGGTGCAGCTTTAAACGCGTATGCTACGAAGGGATAAGAGTTTTCCTTTTTTGTGTGTTTTGTTAAAGTTTGCTTATTTTTAATAAAATTTGTATGTAAAAAATCAAATTTTGGACCAAAACAACATCATTTATTCTTATGTTTCATATTTTAGTCAGGTATGATAGAGAAAATAATAAACAAGTCATGTCAGCATTTTTCATTAACCAAAATGAATAGAGTTAGCATAAGGACTTGAGTGCATGAGTTCGATAAGTTTTAGAACTTAATTGCACTTTTTGAAAGTTTCACAACTCAATTGTATTAGAAGTGTTAAAAGTTGTCACAAAAGCGCACTTATCTCTATTATCCAACAAGCAACTCGCAACACATCACAACACGCAACGGCACGACACAACTAAAGTCAAGACACAATCATACCAAGCTGATTTATCTATATTATGCAGAAAGCCAACTTTCATGTTTTAGTGTCTGTCCCCAAACTACTATTATACCCCCACATTTAAACCTTAATCTATCTTGGTAAAGTAGCTGAGGAGTAACGGTGGCTTTTGCAAATTTATGGCGCAAACTAGAGTTCCAGGACAACTAAGGTCGAGATAAATACTACTATGTATATAGGTAAGAAAAACCGATGGTATTTAATATTAAAATCCCAAATGCTCAAAGATAAAAGTCCTGTTCGTGTT